AAGCTGTGATCTTAACCCTTCACCGCCTTGTGGCATACCATTTTTTAGGGAAAGTGCTTTGGGAGTAAACCCGGCATTCAAATCTGGATCTGGAATCCCAGTGGTGGTTCGGCTGTGTTTAACAGTGCTGCTCTGGCAGTTCCTGCGTGGTCTTCGATGCCCAACTCTGTTGGCACTTGCCCTTTCCTTGGTGTTATTAGTGACGTAGAGAGAGGGTACCTGCGACCTGAAGCAACATCCTGTACTCCTTCCTAGTCAACATGCTCGGGCCTGTGCCCTGGAGAGGTCACTCCAGTGTTGCTTAACTATGTGGCAGACTGCCACTTCTGCATTGATGTCAGTACAGACACTGTTCCGAAAACCAGCGGTATAACTCCATGTGCACTGGCACTAAGTGTAGTAAAAATGGGTGCTGTACTTGTAAAAGAAGTGGGTACCAATGCTTGTGGAGCTGCAGTAGTATAGACGCTTGCCTGTCGGCCAAAAGATTTTGGGTTCTAATCATAATGTTTATCACATTATCCATCAAGTGCTGATTCTTCTATAAAAATGGTTGCTGGAGCTACTGAGTTACGTGGGGACGGCGACACAGGCGGACAGTTTCTTATCAGCTGTCTGTACTGGTGGCAGAGCACTTATGGTTTATAACCGTGTACAATGATGCTGGTTCACATCTCCCAAATTTACCTTTTTTTAAAACTGAAGTGCCATTGATGAAAAAAGGCTTTTACTACTTAGTTTCAGAAAAAGGACTTGTCTACAGTGATGCACCTAAAGAAAACATTCTTCCATCTCATAGCCTAGGCATGAGAAGGAAAGCGGAATAAATTTACGGAGGGAATTGGTATTGAGAAAAATAAGGATATTCATGAGAAACCCTAAAGCGAATGTTGATGAAAGAGGCCAGAGGTGCTGGACTGGATTCCATCTATGATATCAGAGTTGTTGCATCGGACAGAATGGAATGGAGAAGTGAACTGTGAGAGCTGTATGTAACATATAATGGTTATGTTAGTTGCGTATCCTTTACAGGACGTTGCAGAACCAACCCCAGCATTTTTAAGCTGTTGTGGTTTTTCTAGGCAAATTTACGCCCAGTAGTTAGACATAGCTTTCTGGGCGGTCGGCTTCTCGATACCATTGTCGAAACCAGCACAAGACCTGCAGCTGGGATCGAACCTGCACCTCAGCATTACAAATAACATTCGCAAAGCCTAAGCCACAGACGCCAACATATAATGGTATAATAAAATAATGATTGGGGGTAAAGGCGAGAGGATTGACTTTATCGCACCGGGTTTTGCCCCATCTGGCTCAGTCTTTGTCCCGCAGAAAAGCTAGCTGTCTGCTGAGAGCATCGCACAGAGTACAACCCCTATAGCTCCAGTGACAATCCCCAGGGATCTCTGTAAAAATTGCACATGTGAACAGAACAGCTGCGCTGTGAAACCAACCCCCAACCTTCAGTGCGCGAGGCAAACAGCTTGACCACTTCGCCACAAAAACCCTAAAATAAATCGGGGACAGTAATGCAGCAAAACAACAAATGGTAAGCACCATTAGTTGCATAAAATATGATTGTGGGGAGTGGAAAAAGGGGGGGGGGGGGGGGCAGAACTTACTAGCCCCTACAAAAATTCAAAAATTTCATAGAAGCCAACTAATTTGGGGTATTATCTTATGAGTCAGATTGCTTCTGTCGAAGAGGCTAGGAACCAACAGTCTGCACATAAATGAGTCAGATCTGTGAAATGGGTGTGCATGCAACACTCAGGTTCTGGAACGCCACTAGAGTCCAGAAGTTGACAAACAACCATAACTTTCAGCCGAAGTTTACAGCCGGTGAACCAGATAACCAGATCTGTGATAATATAGGGTGACTGCAGTCAAGTTAATACTAAAGAATTCCACTGAAATGTGACTAAAAAGCTGAATGAAACGGGGAAAAAGAAAAACCGTGCACCAAAAATTTTCACCGGTGGCCTTTCTCAAACAAGCAATGAACTACAGTGTACAATGAATTATGGTTATAGTTGTGTAGTTCATTGCCTCTTCAAGAAAGGCCACTGGCCGAAACTTGTTTTGTGCACTTTTTTTTTAGCTACCCTGTTTTGTTAAGCTATTTAGTCACACTTCACTGGAATTCTTCATATCTGTGAAGTAGATTTGCATGCAAAACTCAGATCTAGGAACAAGAGCAGAGTCCATAAGTAGATGAAGAACCAGAACTTTCTGTCAGTTTCAAGCCAGTAAAAACTAAGAAGAAGGAGATTTTTTTAAAACATGTTCTTAGACCTAGTTGACAATTGTCAGTGTTAGCACTTTATTTGCATTGAATATGCCATGATTGCCTGTCATTTTTCAACATTGCCAGGTCCCATGCGGGAAATTGATGTCATAGATGTGGCCAGACAGGATGATTTTAAGATGACAATGAGAGAGTGGACAGAATACTATAACAGCCCTAACAGAGTCAAAAGTCTCAATGTCATCAGTCTAGAATTTTCCAATACAGAGTAGGTTGAGTTATCCAGTTTCTTTGCACATTTCGATTGACACTGATTATCTCCTAATAGTCACCCATTTTCATATTATATTTTGGGGAATTATATGTAAAAAAAAAAAAAAAAGAAGTTTTATTCAGTTGAAAGCCAAGTAAGTGTCTCTCATTTGAGCGACAGATAAGAATATTTCATTTGAGAGCCAGATAAAAGATTTTTATTAAAGAGCCAGATAAAGGACTTTTATTAAAGAGCTAGATAAGGGACTTTTATTAGAGAGCCAGATAAAGGTCTTTTATTAAAGAGCCAGATAAGAGACTTTTGTTAAAGAGCCAGATCAAGGACTTTTGTTAAAGAGCCAGATCAAGGACTTTTATTAGAGAGCCAGATAAGGGACTTTTATTAGAGAGCCAGATAATGGATTTTTATTAAAGAGCCAGATAAAGGACTTTTATTAGAGAGCCAGAATAAGGCCTTTTATTAAAGAGCCAGATAAAGGACTTTTATTAGAGAACCAGGTAAAGGACTTTTATTAGAGAGCCAGATAAAGGACTTTTATTAGAGAGCCAGATAAAGGACTTTTATTAGAGAGCCAGATAAAGGACTTTCATTAAAGAGCCAGATTTTTTATTAGTTGCATATCCTTAACAGGACGTTGCAGAACCAACCCCAACAGCCCCTGGCTGTTGTGTGGTTTCTCTAGGCAAGTTACATCTAGTAGTTTGCCATTGCTTTCTGGGCGGTCGGCTTTCTTAATACCACTGTCGAAACCAATGCAAGGCGCATTGCCCGCAGCTGGGATCGAACTTTCAATAAAGAGACAGATAATTGACTTTCATTAGAGAGCCAGATAACTGACTTTCATTAGAGAGCCAGATGAACTTTCAATAAAGAGCCGAATAAGGGACTTTTATTAGAGAGCCAGATAAAAGATTTTAGGCTATCCTCAGAATAACGGTCATAAATTATCGAGGCAGAAAATATATACCCCTAACAGGGCCTCAGTCACGTGTCAATTGCGCAGTTCTGTCGTCTTAAAATGCGAGCTTCTGGCAACTTCTGTCGCCGCCCAATTGCGAACTTTTGGCAACCTCAGCCACCGCCGAGAATGTCCCCCACACCGCTCGCGCGGCGTGGATTGGGGCTAAACTAGATGGCTAGGACTCACGAGCAGCAGCTACTGCATCTCCGGCAGCTTCCCTCAATTTATTTGCTTGTGGCGTTATAGTCCCCAGAAGTGTGCAATTGACACATGACTGAGGCCCTGTAAGGGTATATTTTACGGCCGTTATTCGGAGGATAGCCTATTTTATAAGAGAGCCAGATAAAGGACTTTATTAGGGAGCCAGATAAGGAACTTTCATTTGAGAGCCAGATGAACTTTCAATAAAGAGCCTTATAAGACTTTTATTTGAGAGCCAGATAAGGGACTTTCATTAGAGAGCCAGATAAGGGACTTTCATTAGAGAGCCTGATAAGGGACTTTTATTTGAGAGCCAAATAAGGAATGAGTGAAAAGTCACTTGAGTGAAAAGTCTGAAGGCACAAATAGATCATTTTTGCGGAATGCAGGTGCCGCAACGACTTTTGATTGGTGGATTCTTTGTGATACATGAGCACTGAGTGCCTAACCTTGTTTCTTGCATGCAACAGCAGTTTTTCTTCAATATTTTCTTCAATCTTAATTAAATATTTCGTAAGTTGGGAATTTATACTGAAAATTCGGCTATCTTCCGAATAACGGTCCCAAATTATCTACACAGAAAATATACCCTAACAGGGCCTCAGTCCTGTGTCAATTGCGTACTTCCGGGGACTATACCGGCGCCGCCGAAATGCGAACTTCTGGCGCCTTCCGCCACCGCCGAGAGTACTTGGGGCTAAACTAGATGGCCTCACGAGCAATAAAACGAGGCTGCTGCAGGAAATGCGGTAGCTGCTGCTCGTGAGTCCCAGCCATCTAGTTTAGCCCCAATCCGCGCCGCATGAGCGGCGTGGAGAGCACCCTCGGCGGTGGCTGGGGTTGTCGAAAGTTCACAATTCGCAGTCGCCGTAAGCTCGCATTTCAAGACGGCGGAACTGCGCAATTGGCACGTGACTGAGGCCCTGTTAGGGTATATTTTCTGCGTAGATAATTTGGGACCGTTATTCGGAAGATAGCCGAAAAATCTGTTTTTGATGTATTTTTGTGTGCTCTGTTAAAAAGTTTAGTTTTAGTATATGCTGCGGAGAAGGTGACACGCTGTTCTTTTATGAGCGCCTGGGCCAACTGGGGCTACAGGTCACTTTCCCTGTATAAAATGGGGTTGTGGCATGAAATAGTTTCGGAACCGCTGTTGTAGAGCATCAGCACATGAGCTGCTCCCATTACCAGACCAAGTTAGCCCCATTTGTATGATCTGTTGTTGTTGAATGTATGGCTCTGTGGTGTACTTTTCTTAATGTGTGATTTGTGTTAGTGCTTTACAGGTTACAGCATTGTGCTTCTTTTGTTTCCAGGTTATCAGAATATGTAGTTCCACCGAAGATAGTTCGTCAGTTGAGCTGGGCTCGCAATGTTTGGCCTGAGCAGCTACCAGACGACAGCACTCTTGCTAGGCCTGAGGTTCAGAAATACTGTCTGATGGGAGTTAAAGATAGCTTTACAGATTTCCATATTGACTTTGGGGGCACGTCTGTGTGGTATCATGTACTTAGGGTAAGTTATCTCAGAAGAAGAGATATCTGTGTGGTAAGTTGTCTATAAAGACGTTTGGTATCACATACTTAGTGTAAGTTATCTCTAAAGAAGAAACATCTGTATGGTAAGTTATTTCTAAAAAAGGGACAAATATGTGGTATCATCATAGTGTAGGTTATCTCTTTATCTATGAAGGGACATTTGTGCGGTATCATGTACTTAGGGTAAGTTATCTTTAAAGAAGGGTCATTTATGCAGTGTCATGTACTTAGTGTAAGTTATCATTAATAAAGATTGCACGTTTATGTCGTATCATGTACTTAGGGTAAGTTATCTCTGAAGAGACATCGGCGCGGTATCATGTACTTAGGGTAAGTTATCTTTAAAGAAGGGTCATTTATGCAGTGTCATGTACTTAGTGTAAGTTATCATTAATAAAGATTGCACGTTTATGTCGTATCATGTACTTAGGGTAAGTTATCTCTGAAGAGACATCGGCGTAGTATCACATGCTTAGGGAAAGTTATCTTCAATAAAAGGACATCTTTGTCCTTGTAATATCACATGCTAAGGTTTAGTCATCTCTAAAGATATACATGTGTGTGTTTTTTTCAGGGTGAGAAAGTATTTTATCTGATCAGACCCACACAGACAAATCTGACATTGTATGAAAAATGGTTGTCTTCCTCCAACCAGAGTGAATCATTCTTTGGAGATAAGGTGAGTGCGTATGTCTGTGGTGATCAGGTGAGTGTGTGTTTGTTGGGATCAAGTGATTGTATGTCTGTGGTGATGAGGTGAGTGTATATGTCTGTGGTGATCAGGTGAGTGTGTTTGTGGGGATCACTTGATTGTGTGTCTGTGGTAAGGTGAGTGATTTGTATTTGATGTGATGATCAGGTGAGAGTTATGTCTGTGGTGATCAGGTGAGAGTATGTCTGTGGTGATCAGGTGAGAGTTATGTCTGTGGTGAGTGTGTATTTGTGGGGATCACTTGATTGTATGTCTGTAGTGATCAGGTGAGTGTGTATGTCTGTGGTGATCAGGTGATTGTATGACTGTGGTGATCAGGTGATTGTGTGTCTATGGTGATCAGGTGATTGTGTATGTCTGTGGTGATCAGGTGAGAGTATGTCTGTAGTGGTCAGGTAAGAGTATGTCTGTGGTGATCAGGTGAGATTTATGTCTGTGGTGATCAGGTGAGAGTATGTCTGTGGTGATCAGGTGAGAGTTATGTCTGTGGTGAGTGTGTATTTGTGGGGATCACTTGATTGTATGTCTGTAGTGATCAGGTGAGTGTGTATGTCTGTGGTGATCAGGTGAGAGTTATGTCTGTGGTGATCAGGTGAGAGTATGTCTGTGGTGATCAGGTGAGAGTATGTCTGTGGTGATCGGGTGAGAGTATGTCTGTGGTGATCAGGTGAGAGTATGTCTGTGGTGATCAGGTGAGAGTATGTCTGTAGTGATCAGGTGAGAGTTATGTCTGTGGTGATCAGGTGAGAGTTATGTCTGTGGTGATCGGGTGAGAGTATGTCTGTGGTGATCAGGTGAGAGTTATGTCTGTGGTGATCGGGTGAGAGTATGTCTGTGGTGATCAGGTGAGAGTATGTCTGTGGTGATCAGGTGAGAGTATGTCTGTGGTGATCAGGTGAGAGTATGTCTGTGGTGATCAGGTGAGAGTATGTCTGTGGTGATCAGGTGAGTATATGTGTCTGGTGATCAGGTGAGTATATGTATCTGTTGATCAGGTGAGTATTTGTCTGGTGATAAGATGAGTGCATTTGCATGTTGATAAGTTTTTTTTTGGGGGGGGGGGGGTAGAAAGGGTTGATAATGTTGAGTTCAGTGCTAGAGAACTATTTATAATTTTGAGATGATGACAAACTGTTGATGTTGTTGAGATAATAACAAACTATTTATGATGTTGACCTGGTAAACAGTAACTACTGATGTTGTTGGTTATTGAGGCTATAAGAATCGTTGATGATGTTCATGTGATAAGAATATGTTGAAATGATATGAATGTGTTGATGATATTAAGACAGTAACAATAATGTTGATGTTGTTAGGTTGAGCACTGCTACCAGATGGTTGTCAAGGAAGGTCACACATTGTTTATCCCAACTGGTTGGATTCATGCTGTACTGACACCTCTAGACTCCCTTGTGTTTGGAGGAAATTTCCTTCACAACTTTAATATACGCTTGCAGCTGCAGTAAGTATACACATGGCAGTACAGACATGAATGTAACAGTGGGACATGAGTGTAATAGTTGGGACATGAGTGTAACAGTTGGGACATGAGTGTAACAGTGGGGACATGTGTGGAACAGTGGGTAAACTGAGTAACAGTGGGCACCTGAGTGTAATAACTAAAATGGGGACATGGGGTCATAATGTGACAGTTGGGATGTGTGTTTGACAGTGGGATCATAAAATAACAATTGTGACATCATTGGGACAGTGGGAATTCAATGTAACAATGGGCATGTGTGTGTGATGTAACAACTGGTGGCTCCTAAATGGTTTTCCTGTCTTGCGGCTCTTGTTAGTACACTCAGGTTTGCAGTCTATTCAGTGAAAACTATTTTCCGCAGAACCGAAAGCCTTACAGTATGTATTCACATATTGCCTTGATGCTGAATCTCCTGTCCATAGAGGGCCCATTCCTAATAGTTGCACTGCCAGCTAGAGCATCAGCTCTCTCATTGCCTTTCACACCAGCATGCATTTAATGTGTGTAGACTACTGGCTTTTACTGAGACTGCAGTCTGTGTCAGTTTTTGTCCCAAGGGATAGCAACGGATATTCTTCGTTGGGGTCATACATGTAACAATGGGGACACCAGTGTATCATAATCATCAGTGTGGCAGTGATTATATAATCCTCATGGTGTCTGTAAATCTGCCGGTAGCAGTAATGCATGTGATAGCTGGTGTTGGTAACAGCTGTGCTGTTTTACATAAATGCTTACAGCCTATTGATTGAGTGGTAAATGCGTGCTGTTGTTATGACACAGGTGCGCTGAGATAGAGAGAGCAGTGAAAACCCCAGAAAAATACTTATTTCCATCCTATGAGATCATCAACTGGTATGCAGCCAAGAATATTCTAGACATGTTGCAAGGTAAGATATTTGCTTGAACATTAGCGTATATTCAGTGGTCCTGTCGTAGTAAAGGACCTTGGGTCCTAAAAGATCTGAGCTTCAAGGAAGATTGGCTAGTAAACAGCATCTTGTCTTAGAAACTGAATTGTTTTGGCCATATCAAGCAGTGGTGGATTTTGAAAAAAATAATAGCAAAAGGATGTGAAAAGTGGCAGGGGCTGACCATCATGAAGATGGTTTTATATATATAAGTGACACTTTGGATAGGAAAGTGCACGAGTTAGGAGAGCTGGGGAGTGCCCAGATTTTTTCTCAGACAGATTATGATAAGAGCAATGTTTTACAGAGGGCCTGCCACAAGATGATGATGTGAGTTAATGCAGGATTTTCTGAATGATCGGCTTTCGATACCACAGTTAAATCCAATGCAAGGTGGCCTGCTGCCAAAACGCCTATAGCTGAGATTTAGCCTGGCATTTACAAACACAACGCCTAAGCCACAGGCGCTGACATCTTGTTAGCTGGGTTATTCCCTGTGTATGAGTGATTGATGTATCTAGTTGTGTGAGGGTGCTGTATTTACTTGTGTGTGAACAGATTAATGAGAGAGGTAATTATTCATGTTCTAATTTATTTTACCTAACAATTGTTAAAGAGTACACAGAAGAGTCCAAGCTGCCACCACATTATTTGGCAGATGGTGCCAGGGCACTGTTGGAGAGTCTCAAATCCTGGACACAAAGAAAAGATGTAAGTGGCCTGATACCTTTCATTGTTGATTGTATTGTATGAGAAAGGCAGCTGTTTTGTTATATTTGATTCCTTGTGTGAAACAGCATTTTTTCTTCTCTCACTTCTTGCATAAAATAACAATTTATCATGAGACTTTATCATTTGTTTTCCTACATTAGTCGGCATCTATGGCTTGGGCGTTGCGAATGAGCTTCGTAATGCTGGAGTGCAGGGTTTGATCCTAGCTGCGGGCAATTTGTCTTAAATTAGTTTCGACAGTGGTACTGAGACCTTACTGTTCAGAAAGCAATGGCAAACAGCCAAGAAGTGCTGGGGTTGGTTTTGCAACGTCATGTAAAAGTCCTATATTTGCTTATATTAATCCTTAAATCAAATAATTTACCATAAATAAGTAAATTTTCAGTCCTTGAAAAATCTTTTCATGACTAGAAATAGATTTATATGTTGGGAATAACATTGTTTAGGTAGGTGTAGGTTTTGAGCTACAGATGTGCAGTTGACTTAGTAGGTCACAGTTACGCTAGCAGTGTTAGGCATTTCTCCCAGGTCTGACTTCTGGTCAGTATTGTGGATAGACTGGCCTTGCTTGTTTTTAGTCCATGACAAGTTTTTGCTTCTGACAGTTGTTAGTCGTTAAATTTTCCTCCATATGTGCACTAAAAAATACTGTTTTGTCGCCCAGCTACTGAGTTAAGTGCATGACACTACACTCTGAACTGCACATTTCATTTGGAATGCTTGCTGTGTGCAAAGCGTAGTTTGTTAACTGCAGAATCAGAAAATGATGAGTGGCCTGTTGCCAGAGAACTGGTGGTGCCTCATAGAATTTATTGCATAATTGACTACTGTTTTTTTGTCACTGCTGCTTCCATTGACGAGAACTGCAATTCTAGTGCCGTACTTGTTTGTGTTAGTTTGTTTTTGACAAGCATTTATTGTTCATTGTTCATTTATGACATCATGTTTATCGCACATCAGACATGACCATAAGTGCTGCGATCTCCTGAAAATGTCTCCAAGTGTTTTTAGGCTAATAACTCCCATTCTGTTCTGGTTGATGTAACGATGGGTGGCTCCTGAATGATTTTCCTGTCTCGCGGCTCCGATTGGTACACCAAGGGTATGTGTCAGTGAAAAATCATTTTCCATAGAACCGAAAGCCTCAGGGTTTAGTCTCATATTGCATTGACGTCGTCTCTCCTGTCCATAGAGGGCCCATTACTGATAGTCGCACTGCCAGCCAGATCGTCTGCTCTCTCATTGCCTTTCACACCAGCATGCATTTAATGTGTGTAGACTATTGGCTTTTGCTGAGACCGCGGTCTGTGTCAGTTTTTGTCACAAGGGATAGCAACAGACATTTTGTATGTTTTCGTTGGCACAGGATTGGAGCAACTATGGGGTGGCTTGTTTGCTGTCAAGTTTGAACTGTGATTACTTTCTGTAAGGCCACTGTGGCAAAGTGGTCATATGCCTCCGTCTCTAAAGGCCACGGGTTCATTTCACAAATTCATCATTCATTTCATAAGTGAAGTTTTTTCAGTGATTCCCAGGTCATCATTGAAGATACAGAGTTCATGCTTTGTGCGAGCTATTTGTAGGCGGCTAGCCGTTTTAGGAGAGAAAGCGGGATGTATGAATAACCCAGTGCTCTGAAGTCGATCCTCTCAAATTTTATTTTAACTTCGGAGGAGACTGAGCTACCTGAATTATTTTACATATGATAAAATGTAACATTAACATTTATTTCCCTGAATACACCTTTTCTCATATATGTATGTGTGTGTATATATATATATATATATATATATATATATATATATATATATATATATATATATATATAATATATATATATATATATATATATATATATATATATATATATATATATATATATATATATATATATATATATATATATATATATATATATATATATATATATATATATATATATATATATATATATATATATATATATATATATATATATATATATATATATATACACACACACACACACACACACACACACACATATTAGTAAAGGTGTATTTAGGAACATAATTTGCTATGTTACACACACACATATATGTATGTATCGTTAAAAATAATTCCTGCTTGAAACTTTTTGCATATAAAATAACAGATATGAAGTTAATAAATTCATAGCCCTGATGTGCCATTATATGCCAGAAAGGGCTCTCAGTTGATTCTTCTATTCCATTATAATCTGTGCAGTTTTGTGTGTGATATCATATAAGAAATCTTAAATCACTTCTTGAATATAAATTTATTGGCAGTATAATTTTGAATGAATGATAGAATGTGGCTGAGTGAATGAGAGGAGGAATGAATAATAGGTGTAGTTGAATAAATTAGAACAAAACAGTTGAAAACTCATTAACACGAATTTGCTTATGAAGAACACTTGGTTAACGTGAAGAAAGTGTGTATTTGTTTAAACACAAACTCTTGATTTTTCCATCCCTTGTAATTCGTTTGAACCGAGTTTTCCTGTGTAGCCTTGTTAATTTATTCCATAACTCACATGACATGTCCTCTGACGCTGAAGCCAGTTTAGCTAACACAGTAAAGTGGCCAGAAAACCTGAATATATTAACACCTTTCTTTCTTTCCAGAGGATAATGTTGTATTGTGCTATAACAATTCATAAGCAACACAGCCCATAGTGATGGCGAGTGTGACCATCAGGACCTGTTTACTTGAAGAAAAGTCTCTATTAGAGCATGTGATTTCAGGGCCATTGTTGTCGTATTATAGACGAATGATGAAAATATCCTGGACATATAAAAAGAGTAATGAAGATGTCTTGAAAGAAACTTACTCACAAAGAGAACTGATTGCCTGCATCAGAAAGAGACAATCTACATTATATGGTCATGTGATGAGAAGGAGAAAACTGGAATACATAGTGATGGTAGGAAAGTTGGAGTTAAGGAGAGGCAGAGAGAGACCGAGAGAACAGATTCTGGACAGTTTAACATCATGGCATGGAAGATCATCTGTGTCAGAATTGATTGAAAGTACACAAGACAGACGGTTGTGGATAGACATGACTACCAGTACCACACAGTATGGACTATGGAAGATCATCTGTGTCAGAATTGATTAAAAGTACACAAGACAGAAGGTTGTGGATAGACATGACTACCAGTACCACACAGTATGGACTATGGAAGATCATCTGTGTCAGAATTGATTGAAAGTACACAAGACAGAAGGTTGTGGATAGACATGACTACCAGCACCACACAGTATTGACTATGGAAGGTCATCTGTGTCAGAATTGATTGAAAGTACACAAGACAGAAGGTTGTGAATAGACATGACTACCAGTACCACACAGTATGGACTATGGAAGATCATCTGTGTCAGAATTGATTGAAAGTACACAAGACAGAAGGTTGTGGATAGACATGACTACCAGCACCACACAGTATTGACTATGGAAGGTCATCTGTGTCAGAATTGATTGAAAGTACACAAGACAGAAGGTTGTGAATAGACATGACTACCAGTACCACACAGTATGGACTATGGAAGATCATCTGTGTCAGAATTGATTGAAAGTACACAAGACAGAAGGTTGTGGATAGACATGACTACCAGTACCACACAGTATGGACTATGGAAGATCATCTGTGTCAGAATTGATTGAAAGTACACAAGACAGAAGGTTGTGGATAGACATGACTACCAGTACCACACAGTATGGACTATAGAAGGTCATCTGTGTCAGAATTGATTAAAAGTACACAAGACAGAAGGTTGTGGATAGACATGACTACCAGTACCACACAGTATGGACTATGGAAGATCATCAGTGTCAGAATTGATTGAAAGTACACAAGACAGAAGGTTGTGGATAGACATTACTACCACATCCACATGGCATGGGCTTAAAGAAGAAAAAGAAGTTGCTATAGCATGTATCCAGTGTGCTTCTTATCTGATGCTTAACTCTAAAACTTTCTGCTGTCATACCAAAAAAACTAATGTACAATCACATGTTTTGGACATGTAATATAAAACTAGTATCTCATGACATCATTTTTCTTGTCAATATTTTACAGTGTTTGGTTGTGCTGTGTTCATTGTGCTATTCTATTTGACATCTTCACCCCGGACAATAAATAATTCCCCCCTCACCCCCTACCCCTCTTTTCTTTCAGCTGACCAGCAAATGTATTGTGAGCGAAGTTATAAACTCCGTTTGCTTGTGTGTGTGTGCATGCACCTCCAGTTGTATGTCTCTTTGCCGATATTTTAGTTCCTGTAGTTATAGTCCATGTTTGTTTACTAGTGGCTTTGTTGTAGTGTTCTGTTTTCATTGATTCTGCTTTCTGTTAACACAGGACGCCCTATCACTGCCTGCACGTTGATTCTTGTTTTGATTTGTTTGACTCATGTGTTTATGATTTACTTGATTTGGCATGAAAGCACCTGAGCCCTTTCAAGTTATGATTGCCCTTTGTTTTTGTGTGTGCATACTTTGGCCCCAGTTGTGATGCATATCTGGATAATAGCCCTAGTTCCTCTATTTTACTGTCAGTTGACACTATTTTGTATCATATTATAAAGGAAGTAAATGGGGTTTTCCCCAAAAATGTAGATACAAATTTTCTTTAAAGGAATGTTTATGTGTCAGCAAAGAAAACTATTAAACTGTTTTATTTCAACCCCCCCCCCCCCCCCCCCCCCCCAAAAAAAAAATTTTTTTTTTGGTTGCATTTTGTTCAGTCTCCTTAAGACAAAATAAACTAGTTGTTTTTTCTAGTTGTTCAGTTGTTTTATTTCAATCCCTTCAAGAAAAAAAACCTCAGGTGATAAAATAAGAATGTAAAGGTAAGATTATTATTTATTACATTCATTTTTGGAACAGTTGATTAATAATTTGTTATAATAAAAATTTATTTATAAATTTAAAAAACAACCATGATCTTGTTCAATAATTTCAATGTTTACATTAATCCTTCATTACACATTTTGTCTACTCATTCTAATCATTAGATTTGAATCTCTTGCCTGTTCAGGCACTTATGGCAAATCTGTCATGGCTAATGTTGGAAATTTTTTTGAGGAGGCACTAGATGTTGCAGATAAATGTTTTATTTTGGAATGTCACATCTTGTGACTATTACCTAGCTCATAAATGTAAAACAAAAGTTGTTGCTATAAACACTATAAGGTTATTTATACGATGGTCTTCCCATTTACACACCACCAGCTGTAGGTCAACTCCATTGAAAGGTTGGTTGGACTAGTCTACCGTGGTCGAGGCTAGCGGTCTTGCATTTATTTTTTTTTTTTCGAGAAAAAGACGGCCTTTGACATGTTTTGTCACTCTCTGGCGCGGGTTGTGTGTTAGACCCAGTATCTAAATGTTTTAGAAGTGTTAGAAGCTCTAGCATGGTGAAATATACAACACTGTATCAGCACCAGTGCGGAATATCCCCATGACCTTGTGTTAAAATTGGATTGCTCAAGGTCGACCTATAAGAGGCGAGGTTGTATGTAGGTCGTCCAATCAGAAGCGAGCTAGTGTTGGGCGGTGTGTAAATGGGGAGACCAGCGTAACATTTGCCCACTATAATTATAAATAAAATAAGACTTGAACCAGACAGACATATAATTTGATTTAAATGTTAAGTGTAACATTACATAACCATAAGGGGGAGAGAACTGGATTTTTCTTACAGTTTGCAACCCAGCATGTCTTTGATAATAGAGAGTATTCAGATGGGTTTCTTGCTTTGTTTGTGTAGGGATAGAGAATTCTGGCTGTAACGGCAATCTGACTGGCATTACACCTCATAACTTGTGACATGTCTGTGAAATACCTAGCATTGTGGATTGTGTTGATAGTATGCGTGCAGCTGGAACTATGGCTTTGCATGAAAATCAGGCCTCTCTGTTGCAACTAACTTGATCTTAGATGGCATGCAAATTCATAGATATGGTTACTCATTGGTGATATCCATGCTTGTAGATCAGGGCTGTTCAACTAGTGGCCCACAGGCCTGCAGCAGAGGCCTAACAAATGGTCCGCGGATAACCTGCCAATTGTATTGTATTAATAACCTTTCTGTGCTGGGGTCTCTGGCCCGTGACGATCCTCATTTTCAACACTTTGACCCCTGATGAAACTTAGTTAAATGGCCCTGTCATAAATATTCGTAATCATAGGATGTCATCCAAGCTCATGGTTATTTTGCTACTTGTTAACTGACACCTAGAATCACATATCCATACATCATCGTCATCATCTAGTGCTTCGCCGATGGCATGGGCAATCATGCCTCTCCACAACTGCGTGTATCAGTTCGTGTGCAGACACCCCTCCATGCCATGACAAAAGACTGTCTAGAATCTTCTTGCGCTGTCTTCCTGTTTTTTTTTCTACAAATCTTTCTAGTGGTCAGTGGAGTTTGTTATTCACTGTGGATTCCAGATCGGTAAAATGGTCAATTGTCTCCAACTCTTCAACGTCAGTGTAGACTGTAGGTTTATCATTAACCCCTTGTACCATAACCTCTGTCTTCTTTTTTGTTGATTGTTAGTCCGAATTCACAGCATGCAGATGTAGATAGTAAACATTGCTACCCCTCCTATGAGTGGCCATATCATCTGTAAAGAGTAGCTCTCTGATAAGTACCTTTCTTATCCTGGCTTTCGCCTTCAGCCTACGAGCATTGTAAAAGATGCTTTCAGATTGAGAATAGATGAATATACAACACTCCTGATCTCAATAGGCATGTTTCAAAAGAAATGAGAAGTATATTCCAAAGAGTCCGCTGTTGATAACAAATTTCTCCAATGTTACGCCATTACAGTTGATTGTATCTTTCATACCTGTGTGGAACGACTCAATAATGCTTTGTAGGGTAGGTGGACACCCAATTTTTTTTCAGTGTGTTGAGCAGACCTTTTCGATTAACTAAATCAAATGCCTTAGTGAGATAAAAAAATCAGTATACAGTGGTTGCATTTTTTTGCGGCATTTTTCCTGCAACTGTCGTAATTAGAATATCATATCAGTGGTAGACCAGTTTCCATGAAAGCGACACTGACTCTAGGTAAACTCAGTCTCTCTAGAATCTGGATTCTTCACAAAACAATTCTCGCAAGTACTTTTCCAACAGTACGCAGCAGTAATATTCCCCTGATGTTATTTCAGTCACTCTGATCACCCTTGTTCTTGTACATAGTTATGATGCTTGAGTCTTTGAAATCTTACGGAACCTGTCCCTCTTGCCAGCAGAGTGTTATTAGCTGATGAATGTGGGGGGTTAGAATGTCTTTCCCACTCCTGAGAATTCCATCTCTGCCTGGGGCCTTCCCTGAAACTAGTTCATCAGTAGGAATGCTATTGATATTCTTAACTTTTGCATTTGTTGGAAATTTGTCCACCATGGCATTAGGAGCACCATCTGTTAGTGTAGTCTCAGCCGCATACAGCTCCAGATAATATTCCACCCATCCATCTAGCTGCTTCTTCTTTCGCGTAACTGGATGTAGCGTTTTGCTGTCAATCAAGGGTTGGAGTGTCTAGCTGTATACTTCAAACCAGCCCTTACTTCTGTGTTATCCATAGACTGTTGCAGCTGTTTTGTAGAAATTCTCCTTATTTGCATCCCATTTTAAGCTTGCTATGGAGTTGTCCTTGATGTCAGTGAAAGCATATTCAAACTGTTGTTGGAACTTAAACACTTTTCAATGACGTCTTTAATTTTGGAAATAATTAAACATGAAGATATATTTGTTTCTTGAAGTAAAATTCTTTTTGGTTTCATCTGAACTCTTTTAGCAACTAGGGCAGTGCCAGTGGCCAGATCATAGATGTTTCCTTGACACCTTATTAAGGTCTTTAGTTTTAAAAAAGGAGTTTGTGATGCACAGGTCACTTCTAGTGTACAATTTCAAGTCTTTGCCAATTTTCATTCATTATATTTTTCAAGTCAAACTCGCAATGAGTTTGAGTCCGACCCCATGCGGGCATTAAAATCATCAGGTATGTAGATGCCATCAGATTTAGGAATTGCTTTCACTGCATTATCCAGATAATATTCCTTCATTTGGACTCCCAGCTGATCTCAGTGATTAATTCTTTACTGCAAAACATACTCCATACTTCTAGATTTCTTTCTGACCTCTGCCTTTCTAGAAGAATGTATAATTTTTTTATGTAATGAACCCATTTTATGGTATGGCAGATGTGTTTCCTGTAGGCCAGCAATATCTGTGTCAAGTTTACTGAGTTTGGCAATAATGATAGCCGTTTTTCTCACATCAGTAATGTTTTCCAGGTCAGTGGAAAAACCCAGGATACATTCCAAGAGATAAGTCAAAGCTTGAAGTTATGTTTCTTTGTATTGCCTGGTGCATTGGTTTTCTTGGAATGTGAGCAAACAAATTAAGAAGAGTTTGAAGGCAACTGAGATGTGGTTCTTGAGAAGAATTTTGAGAATACCTTGGACTGCCAGAATAAACAGTATTGAATGCCTGGAAATGAGTAATGAAGGTAGAACATTATATACAACAGTGAGAAAGAGACAAACACAGTTCTTTGGTCATGTGATGAGAAAAGGGGCACTGGAGAATATCGTGACAACTGGAAAGACCACTGGTAAAAGAGGGGCAGGCAGACCAAGAGAAATAGTGGATGGCTTAAGACAGTGGCGTGGAGGAATATCATTAGTAGAATTGATCCAGAACACCAAAGACCCAGATCTGTGACGACACATGGGTGCCTACGCCAGCTGGTGAGGCACTTCATGATGGTGATGATTGGTTTTTACAGCCTGTGAGTCGAATTTTGACCCAGCTCCAAGTACCCATTGAAACATATAGGCTGTGGGGGATCAACATCTTATTGGCTGGGGGCTGCCCAGCTTGAGTTGGGCGGTAGTTTAACAGTAATTTAGAAAATCTCTCTGACCGTCAGAGGCAACTCGTGGCCCCCTCACCTACGCCAGTTGACACCTACTTATAATCCGTAACTGCTTTTCACTTTCAGATCTTTATTAAAACTACAAGTGGTTTTTTGCAGGTCATTCTGACTGTTACTAGAGTCACCACTGCTCTAAAAATATCACTGCATACACTTTAAAAAAATAATGCAGATTCAAACTGGATTTGATTACTTGCTTGACAATTGGTTTAAAACCTAAAACAGTGTGCTCTGTAATTTTACTGAAAGTAAAAACATGCTACAATTAAAATTCCCATCAACACATTTTAGGCATTACAAGTATGTACAAGTATTCAATCTAATGTCTACAGGTATAACTAAGTGTATGATCTATTCTTGAGCTGATTCTTAGATTCTATAAAATGGGACACATGGCTTTTTTTCTTAGTACAGAAAGGACACTCGGGGTGCACATCAAAGCAGGATGTATAGTCACCCTACTTACGTGTGTCATCTGTGCTCTAGGCCTGCATGTGTCGTATAGGCTCATATGTGACATTCAGGCTAAAAAAATGACATCTAGACCCATACGTGGCATCTAGGCCCATATGGGTCATCTAGGCCCATATAGGTCATCTAGGCCCATATGTGTTATTTAGACCCATATGTGTTATTTAGACCCATATGTGTTATTTAGACCCATATGTGTTATTTAGACCCATATGTGTCACCTAGACTCATATATTTCATCTAGACTCATATGTATTTAAGCTGTAAATCTCTGCCCCTCACTGGTGTCTGCTGACATCAGTAGAACTCCAGCCCACTTTCTGACCATGTCTCTATAATTGTTTATGATCAAACTTGCTTGGGCTATGTGTTGCATGGAGTCCTCCTGCATGACAGCTGACTCAGTGTCCAGGTTATCTTAATATGTTCAGCTAGCTCTGTGTTTCTAATAGTTTATGCAGTTTCTGTTTCATCCTTTTATTTTCACAGTAACAGGTTTTCTCACTGTATTTATTATTCATGTTTTTTATTATCTAACCACAACATATAGTTCTCAACATTAGTATATAGTTCTCAGTACTAGTATCTAGTTCTCAGTACTAGTAAATAGTTCTCAGTACCAGTATATAGTTCTCACTACTAGTATATCGTTCTCAACATTAGTATATAGTTCTCATGTCTATTAAATAGTTCTCAGTATTAGTATATAGTTCTCAAGATTAGTATATAGTTCTCAGTACTAGAATCTAGTTCTCAGTATTAGTATATAGTTCTCAGTACTAGTATCTAGTTCTCAGTACTAGTATCTAGTTCTCAGTACTAGTATCTAGTTCTCAGTACTAGTATCTAGTTCTCAGTACTAGTATCTAGTTCTCAACATTTGTATATAGTTCTCATGTCTATTAAATAGTTCTCAGTACTAGTATATAGTTCTCAGTATAAGTATATAGTTCTCAACATTAGTATAAAGTTCTCATGTCTATTAAATAGTTCTCAGTACTAGTATATAGTTCTCAACATTGGTATATAGTTCACAACATTAGTATATAGTTATTGTACTAGTATATAGTTCTTACTACTAGTATATAGTTCTCACTACTAGTATTTACTTCTCAACATGAGTTGGTTGTAGTAACAGATTTAGTAACAAGGCGTAGCAGAGCTTTCACAGTCTTAGCTTTGTGTTGTCAAACTTTTAGCTGTACCTGCTAGTTGTTACACAGTTGTGGCAGACACAGTTCATAGAGCTTCCACCAGCTCTCATATGCCTGATCAGAGCAGGATGTAACATAATTCCCTGTGTGGGGGGGGGGGGGTGGGGGGCAGAAAGACTCACTGCCCCTTACTGGCATAATACGTAGCTAATTAAGGCTTTGCTGAAACTTGATGTGTTGGACTGAAAGGTGCAGAAATTGCAGCCTTGCTGTAAACTACAACACACATGCCAATGGCCTATTTGAGGTTAAGCACAGAAAAAGAACCTTTCTTTTGTGTTCATGATGAATTTGTAGTTTTTGTGACCAATAAAAATACTATTTATTATATTGATCTAATGCATCCCCCACACATACACCCTATTCCCACCCCTTTCCTTTGCTGAACTGTGGGACTGGGCATGAACTGTCTGTGGTAATGACCATGTTTGATCTTGGTAGCTTCTACTTGTGTATTTTATTATCATTTATTGATCTGTGGGTGGTTGTCGGTGATTACTGTCTGTGGGCTGTGTTTGTGGTTTCACTGTGTTCAAGTTGTGGAAGTATTTTACATCTTCTTGATACTCAAGCATATAGTAGTCTTTTGACATGCTCAAAACTAGTGAGATTTTCACACATTTTAGTTAAGTGGGATTGAGATATTCACTCATTGTAGCTGAGTGGGGTTGAGATATTCACACATTGTAGCTGAGTGGGAATGAGATATTCACACATTATAGGTGAGTCTGAATGAGATATTCACACATTGTGAGTGGGAATGAAATATTCACACATAATAGGTGAGTCAGATTGAGATATTCATACATTTTAGGTCGGTGGAAATTAAGATATCCACAAATTATAGTTGGGGGGGGGGGGGGGGGGGGGGGGGGGGGGGGGCAAATGTAAGTAAGTGTCAGAATTGGCGAGATTTTACTATCTAATTTACCTTTACATATTAAATATTGTGTCAATTCTTCCATCAGAGGGAAAATTGGTACTAGATATTTAACTTTGTTTTATCTCTGTGTTATTAACTTCTGTAGTTATGGCTTCTGCTATACAAGGCATTGGCTTATTGAAAACTTCACTTTGTCTTGTGACACAACTTAAGGGACACTTATTAGAGCAAGTAGAGTCTGTTCAACTTGATGATAGTGCCTTAGCTAATGTACTGTAAATTGTGGCATATAAGTCGACCTGGCTTACAGGGTGCTCTCAAAAGTCTTAGCTCAAAATTCTGAGTTAAACATATACCCACTGAATTGTCTCCCCTGCCTGCAACATATGGAGCTGTCAGTGGCCCAAAACTTGGGTGTACCAGTAAGTTAAGTTCAGCTACAGTATCTGATAACCTGTGCCAAAACTACACAAGGTCATACCACTTACCTGCATACTGAGATGCTAGTTTCTTTCTTCTGTATGTATTGTGGTTTAGATGACGGATCAACATCATGGCACAAAGGTAGTAACCCATAAGTGCTGCATTCTACTTCTGACTGAAGCCTGAGTCTGAAGAATCTCAGTGCAGTGCACAAAATCCTTAGCACCAACGAAGATCCTGAAATACTTTGGGTAGATTTTTAACTCAAAATGTTGCCCAGGCAGCGCCGTTAGGCTACTCTCTTTCAATTTCTAACTGCCTAGGAGTTTTTTTAACGTGTGCAACAATACACAGGGGCGTCCGATCTTACTACCCAGAGACCAGGGAGAACAACATACAACACACACCTGTAGGTGCTGTATGTTGTATTTAGTGGTGTATGTATGTGGCCACCTGCTGAAGGTGGGGTAAGTGGTGTCCGGTGATTGTTAAAGAGTGCTGTCCCATTTGTTTACAACTAGGTGGTGAAGGTGTGCATACCCAGCATATCTTCTTCTTCACATTCACCAACTGTAAACTCCGGCAGAAAGTTCTGGGTGTTCATCCACCTCCATTAATCTTTTACCTTAGTGTTGTGTGCTCATCCATTTCGTGTGGCTTATTTGTGTGCAAACTCTTGGTTCCTTGCCTCTCAGGCAGATGTACTGACTTCGAAAGATGCCATCAATTAGTCGACTCCTACGACATGGTTGTTGGGGAGGCAATGGGTCTATTTTTGTTTTCCTCACAATGGGACCTCAGAAGCCACACAGGAAATACCCACTATTTAAGTCAACCCTTATTTTGGAAAGATGTTTTTAAAGGCTTGATAACTTGACGTATATGCCACAATATATGGTATTTGTATATTGTTTCTGTTTGATGGTTTTGGATTTAAGTATTTATTGGTTTTTTCTTTCTGTGCGCAGTATACCAAAATTGGCAAGCAAGATGTCACAGATTACATTCAGTATGGGAAATTGCTCAAAGATATGCAGAAGGAGGTGAAGAAAATTGATGCTATGGTATGTATTCTTTCATGTGTGTTTGTAAGTATGCTTGTTTGTTGCTAGATGTATATTTTCATTTATCTGTTCAGTTCATCTATTCAGCTACTTTTTTGGATAAGTTAGTTGCACATCCTGCATAGGAAATTGCCATGCAAACCCTTGCAGCAGTTTTATGCACAGTAGTTTGACATTGCATTCTGAAAAGCTGATGGTGATAACACTTTTTAAATTCAATGCAGAGCTGTCTGGTTTCAGATTGATTGCAGCTGAATTGAACTTGAATGGGTACCAGATGGAGTCCTTGGAAGTAAAGGTGATCAGGGTGATGCTGGCGGCATTACCCACCCAGTGCCGATCGGTCTATAAAATATAGGTCTACCCCTATATGCACAGTGGGAGTTGCTATGGCATAGCGGCTAGACGCTGGTGTGCAGATTGAGAGGTCGTGGGTTTGCTCTCTGGCAAAGCTGGACTTTTTTTCTTCAAAAATGACCTTGACTCCCAGGTCGACCCAGCCTTGAGTGGGTACTGGGTGCATTCCCGGGAAGTAAAGGCGTAAGACGGGATGTTTAACCACATCACCCATCTTGTGCCAATTGGTCTATAAAATATAGGTCCAACCCTATATGACCTATACGCCTAAAGGTGGGGAAAAGGGACCTTTACTTGCCTGAAGGCATGTAAAGGGTTGTGTACTGTTACTTGACTTCCCTAACGGTGACATGTCGTCTGTGACCACAGTATTTGCAACATTTTGTCTGCTGTCTCCCTTGTTAATCAGCGGCTAAGGCGTTACAAACATGATTCGTAATGCTGGGGTGCCAGTTCGACCCTAGCTGCAGGCGATTTGGCAGCGGACTGTCCTGCGCTGGTTTTGATCATTCAGAAAGCAATGGCAAACTACTGCATGTGAATTGGCCTAGAAAAGCTACACACACAAAAATGCTGGGGTTGGTTCTGCAACGTCCTGTAAAGGATATGCAAATAACTTTGTTTAAAATTTTAGTGTTCCCTTTTATGCCATGGCAGACTATCCAACTCTTCGTATGGGTTCCAGGGCCCCATTTGGGGTTTAGGGGGTGGGAGTGGTGTTTAGATCCACTCTTCCTGAACAAGCATGTTGTAAAAGGTGACTTCTTCTTCTTCTTTACATTCTCTTTTTAACTGTTTTGAGTATCGAGGGAGATTTAAGGTCCTGCTTCAAGCTCTTTAGTAAATAATGTTCCAAGATATTTAAACTCAGATGCCTGTTTAATATTTGTATGCTGTGATGCTATATTTAAATTCTGCTTTTTCCTCTCTATTGACATTACTTCTGTCTTTTCAGTGTTGATTCTCATGTTATTTAAATTTACATTCTTCATTTATGGATGTGAGATGATGTTGCAAATTCATGGCTGTATCAATACTTGGTTGTCAGCAAAGAGTAGTTAATTGATGTTACTATTTTTTTCGTTCCTGGGCCTGGCATCCTTGCTTATACTGTCAGTGTAGGTGATAAACGAGAGTGGTTATAAGAAACATCCCCGTCTTACTCCGGATATTACTTTAAATGGTTTAGATGTTCCTTGATTTATTCTAACTACACTTCTACAATCTCTTTACAAACTTTTGTAAACTTCACTGATGGTTTTGGTCTGCGTTTGGTGGGTAAATAACTTCCCTGTAGAGAGATAACCAGTCATAAAATAGAACCATGTGCAGTTTTTTAGTTAATTTTCTTGCCTTTAAACAGTTCTTTTTATAAGCTTTTATTAAGTTCGATTTTGTTTATTTGTCTGGTTAAGTTTTTCCCTTTCATTTTTTTATACTATTTAATTTTTTTCTGCTAACATCATTCATAAACTCTTTATAAATTTAAGGAGAAGACAGCAAGTCCAAAGAAACTAGAAAACAGACGCAGGAAGGGAGAAAAGACAAAGAAGTCATCAAAGACAGTAGAAGTTCTCGACGTGTTAGATCAGCATACAAAGGAAACTTTAAAAATTGCAGAGAGGGAAACCAGAGAAAACATATATAACTTTGAAGTAAGTCTGGTTAGACTAAGACCCTAGGAAACATTATCACCTGTTGCACAGTTTCAAGACAAACGATAGGGGGGAAAATTTTGCTGTAAAATTTGTATATAGACTTGGACAAACCATCAGGGGAACCTGTTGCTGTAAAGTTAGTGTAGACTTAGACAAACCATTGGGGGAAAAACATGTCGCTGTCAAGTTTGTGTAGACTTGGACAAACCATAGAAGGAAGACTATAGTGTGAAGTTTGTGAAGACTAGGACAAACCATAGGAAGAATGCTATTGTTGTGAAGTTTGTGTAGACTTGAACAAGCCAAAAGAAAAAGGCTATTGCTGTGAGGTTTGTGTAGACTTGGACCAACCATGGGGGGGGGGGGGGGGGATGTTGCTGTAAAATTTGTATATGGACTTGGACAAACCATTGGGGGGAAAACATGTCGCTGTCAAGTTTGTGTAGACTTGGACAAACCATAGAAGAAAAACTATTGCTGTGAAGTTTGTGTAGACTTGGACAAACTATAGTATGAATGCTATTGTTGTGAAGTTTAGACTTGGACACACCATGGGGGAAAGAATGTTGCTGTGAAATTTGTGTATAGACTTGGACAAACCATGTGGAAAAATATGTCGCAGTCAAGTTTGTGTAGACTTGGACAAACCATTTAAGGAAAGCTTTTGCTGTGAGGTTTGTGTATACTTGGACAAACCATGTTGGGGGGGGGGAGAGACTGTGTTTTTGTAGACTTTAGCAAACCGTGGAAAAAGTGCCTGTTGCAGTGACTATAATAAACTGTAGAAAACACTATTGTTATGGTGTATATATTTAGGTTTGGACAGACATTGAAATAAACATGTAGCTGTAAAGGTAGCATATGTGGACTTTTGGTGGTCTAGGTTTGTCTTTGTTGTGACAGTTTGTGTTTGTCAGTATGGTTGTCTCCTGTGTTGTGACAGGTTGGGGTTTGTCAGCATGGTTGTAGTCTGTGGTGTGACGTATTGGGTTTGTCAGTGTTGTTGTCTTTTGTGTTGTGACAGGTTGTTTTTATCAGTATGGTTGTCCACTGTGTTGTGACTAGGTTGGATTGGCCAACATGGTTGAAGTCTGTAGTTTGGCACATAAGGTTTGTAAATGTGGTTGTCATTTGTGTTGTGTGTAGCAGGCTAGGTTTATAAATGTTTCTGACATTTCTGATTCCAGGACGATGAGGATGAGCTGCCTGCAAGTCTGAAGGTGAGGATCCCAAAAGCTGGGGCCTACGTGGCAGACCACGAAAATGCAGTTGGAAAATCTGCCACAAAGGCAGCACCCAAGAACAGTAAGGTCAGCAAACAATCTGCGGACAAGGAAGACCCTGTCGCAGAGATTTCTCCACACGAAAGAGGCAGCAGAAGGAACAAGAAAGACTCCAAGAAGAACACAGAAGGGAAAGAACCTTCAAGGAGTTTGCTGAAAGAGAGTTTATTACAGGAGAAGGTAGTGAAGACTGAGCAGGAGTCGGAGACATCTCCTGTAAAGGAAGTGCCACAGTGCCTCAAGTTCAAACTATCCAACGGGAAAATGGTGAGGTAGGGCTTTTGTGCTGTGAAGCACAGATTCTGTGGTGTTTACATGTTGATCTTTAGTCTGGTTTGGAGCTGTGTGGTGCAGTGGCAAGTCTGCTTGCACCCCCGGCGTGAGGTGATTAGTTGAAATACCCATCTTCTCATGTGGGTTCTTGGGTCCCATTATAGAGTGGAAAAAAAAAAGAGTAGACCCACTGCCCCCCCCTAACAAGCGTGTCATAGGAGTCCACTAATTAGGGATGTGTGTGAAAGCATCTCTTAGAGGCAAGGAACCAGAAGTCTGCATACAAATAAGTCGGATTTTGTAAAATGGATGTGCGCACACTAAGGTTCTGGAACAAGACTAAAATCCAAAGGTGGACAGACAACCAGAACTTTCTGCCAGAGTTTACAGCCTGTGAATGCAAAGAAGAAGAAGAAAATACTCATCTTGCTTTCTCTGGTCAAAACATCCTAAAATGGATACATTGAAATAATCATGGGAAGTAAAAGTGGTAAGCATACTTTTGACATCTACCAAGTGTGGATTGGTCTATAGACTTAGGGAAAGACTCATACGACCAGTACCTCTGAAGGCATTAACAAAAAAGTCTCCTTGGTAAAGCGACAAGTCTGTCTGTTGCCAGTGTTGACTTAGGTTAGGTTCACTGTGTTGGTGTGTGCACATGTGTCTGTCTGTTGCCAGTGTTGACTTAGGTTAGGTTCACTGTGTTGGTGTGTGCACATGTGTCTGTCTGTTGCCAGTGTTGACTTAGGTTAGGTTCACTGTGTTGGTGTGTGCACATGTGTCTGTCTGTTGCCAGTGTTGACTTAGGTTAGGTTCACTGTGTTGGTGTGTGCACATGTGTCTGTTGCCAGTGTTGACTTAGGTTAGGTTCACTGTGTTGGTGTGTGCACATGTGTCTGTCTGTTGCCAGTGTTGACTTAGGTTATGTTCACTGTGTTGGTGTGTGCACATGTGTCTGTTTGTGTACTATCTTTTTATTTGGCATGCTAGGTTTAATAGAAGTATGTAGCACATACCAGCCAACATCCTCAAGTACTGCAGTCAGTGTTTACACTGGATTATGTACCAGCTGCACACACATGTCATAATTGGAAGTGATTCACAGAGCATGTTGAGAATGGTGGAGACTGTTATGCTCTGTGCAGAGTGACAAGCATCTTTTCAGACATCCTGGGTAGTTATAGACTTTTGGATATAATCTCCATGTTGTGCCGATGTGTTGAGAAACAAACAAGGTGTAGGTGTGTTGGGAAACAAACAAGGTGTAGGTGTGTTGGGAAACACACAAGCAGCCAGGCTGGCTGGTTCTGCATCGCTTGGTGGTCTGTCTGCCTGGTTTTGCACCACTTGATGGTGAATTTATGTATGACAAGCTAGATGTTGTAAGGAAGAGAGTGAACAGTACGGAGGCAGAAATAGATCATTACAGTCTGAGAAGAATGGCACTGCAAGGCGTTACCAGGGATCAGCTCAGCATCACGGCAGCTGCTTTGACTTCCCATGACTTTACCTGATACCCATTTTAAGCTGTGTTGACCTGGAAGCCAAGGTCATTTTTGGAGAGAAAAAATGGGGCTCTGTCAGGACATAAACCCACATCCTTCCAATCCACAGGCAAGTGTGTAGCTACTGCACCATGACAGCTGTTTAGTAAATTTACAGTGGGATTATTTAACACAAAGAACATCTGTGGTCTAGGGGTTCTTTGTGAAGTTAAAGGTGCCAAATTTCATTGTAGCCACACAGGAAAGCTGGTTGGCAGCCAGGTGTCATGTTCAGTATTGTCGATCTCTGTGAAAATTGTGCATGTGGATAAGAGAGAGAGGGGGCAGGAGGAAGAGATTTAGAGCACAAGAGAGAGAGAGAGAGAGAAAAAATAGGAAATAATTTCATATGTGAATATGGACAGTAAATGCTTCTCACTGCCAAACTTTATCAAAAGAAGAAAACGGTGTGGTTTGGACATGTTCCTATAATGCCTTGTGACACTTTGGCGAGAACAGCTCTTCAGAAACGAAGAGAACAGCAGTAGAACAAAAAATGGAGTCTAAACTGACATGGGATATCATGGACAGACTGCAGTGGAGATCACTTGTAAATGTCTTACATGACAACAGCAGTAGAAATCACTTATGAATGTCTTACAGGACAACAGCAATGGAGATCACTTCTGAATGTCTTACATGACAGCAGCAATAAAGGTCACTTGTGAATGTCTAACATGACAACAGCAGTAGATGTTACTTGTGAATGTCTTACATGACAACAGCAGTAGATGTCACTTGTGGTCTTACATGACAACAGCAGTAGATATCACTTGCGAATGTCTTACATGACAACAGCAGTAGATATCACTTGCAAATGTCTTTCATGACAACAGCAGTAGATATCACTTGCGAATGTCTTACATGACAACAGCAGTAGTATCACTTGCGAATGTCTTTCATGACAACAGCTTTGGAAAGAGGGTATGGATGTGATTCTGCAAAACAATTTATGCTGTTTTTTCCTTGGACAGTCATTTATGTATTAGTGAGAGTGTGTGTATGTATAAGTGGGAGTGTGTGTGTGTATGTATGAGAGAGAGAGTATAAATGAGTATGTATGTATGTATGTAAAAGTGTATGTATATGTGTGTTTGTGTATGTATATATGTGCGTACTCGTAAGTTAGCGATTAGTGGGTGTGTGTGTGTATGCTTGCTTTTAAAATTATTATTCATAATATGCATATTGTTGTATGAACATATCATGTTTTATTAAAAATACAACTGCTGGATGGATGTTTGGGAAAGCCGAATGTAAGACCGAGATGTGTGCCCAAACTGTGACTCTTTGAAAATAAAGTGTCCTCTCTCTCTGTCTGTCTGTCTGTCTGTCTCTCTCTCTCTCTCTCTCTCTCTTACAATTGTAGTCTGCAAGTGCCAAATCTAAGACAGGCCTATGTGCCTAATTCGCAACCCTTCAAAAATAAAAGGAGTGCTGTCTATAACAATAGTGCTAAAAAATGCTGTCTAAACAAAGGTGCCAGTACTGTGTTTAAAAAAAGCCCTGATCATATGTGCAAGTGTATGCCAGAATTACCTGCTAATGTACATAATGAATGATATAAATGAACTCAACCATTTTGTTTTTGTGTATCTTACTTTCAGCACAGACAGAAAAACAAAAAGCAGGAAACTAAAACAGAAAGAATTTGTCCTGTTAGGACCAGACTTATCCAATCCTACGGTGCCTTCAGTGAAAGCAGAAGCAGATGTAGAAAAGAAAGTGCAGTCAAGATTGAAATCACCGAAAAAAGAGGTGAAAGAAAAACCTCTCAGCAAAAAGGAAAAGTTGAAAGATAAAACATTTGATAAAAAAGACAAGATTAAAACTGAGGCAGCTGTCAAGAAAGATGCAGGTGATGCAATGAAATCCATGTCGACAGGATGTGACAAGCCTAAACAAACGAGAACAAGTCAAAAAGGGAAGCAAAGTGACTCTAGTCGTGCTCGAGGTAGACCTTCTGAATCCAAGCCGAAAGCAGACTCAGGTGCTTCTACGCGGTCTAGTGCCACTGCAGCTGTGCCAGACACATCGAAGGACAGTGACAGTGATGGGGACCACTTGGTGGTGGATGAGGCGCCCAAGAAGTCTCAGGGGCAGAAAACAACGTCCACACTGAAGCCGGCCTCGCTGAAGATGAAGCTGTCGTCTGGGCCTGTTAAAGGTGAGTGTCATGTCAGGGGGTATGATCAGTCTACAGCCATTATTGTGAGTGTCATGTCAGGGGGTGTATGATCTGTCTACAGCCATCATTGTGAGTGTCATGTCAGGGGGTATGATCTGTCTACAGCCATCATTGTGAGTGTCATGTCAGGGGGTATGATCTGTCTACAGCCATCTTTGTGAGTGTCATGTCAAGGGGTATGATCTGTCTACAGCCATCATTGTGAGTGTCATGTCAGGGTGTATGATCTGTCTACAGCCATCATTGTGAGTGTCATGTCAGGGGGTATGATCTGTCTACAGCCATCATTGTGAGTGTCATGTCAAGGGGTATGATCTGTCTACAGCCATCATTGTGAGTGTCATGTCAGGGGGGTATGATCTGTCTACAGCCATCATTGTGAGTGTCATGTCAGGGGGTATGATCTGTCTAATGCCATCATTGTGAGTGTCATGTCAGGGTGTATGATCTGTCTAATGCCATCATTGTGAGTGTCATGTCAGGGGGTATGATCTGTCTAATGCCATCATTGTGAGTGTCATGTCAGGGGGTATGATCTGTCTAATGCCATCATTGTGAGTGTCATGTCAGGGGGTATGATCTGTCTACAGCCATCATTGTGAGTGTCATGTCAGGGGGTATGATCTGTCTAATGCCATCATTGTGAGTGTCATGTCAGGGTGTATGATCTGTCTAATGCCATCATTGTGAGTGTCATGTCAGGGTGTATGATCTGTCTAATGCCATCATTGTGAGTGTCATGTCAGGGGGTATGATCTGTCTAATGCCATCATTGTGAGTGTCATGTCAGGGGGTATGATCTGTCTAATGCCATCATTGTGAGTGTCATGTCAGGGGGTATGATCTGTCTACAGCCATCATTGTGAGTGTCATGTCAGGGGGTATGATCTGTCTAATGCCATCATTGTGAGTGTCATGTCAGGGGGTATGATCTGTCTACAGCCATCATTGTGAGTGTCATGTCAGGGGGTATGATCTGTCTAATGCCATCATTGTGAGTGTCATGTCAGGGTGTATGATCTGTCTAATGCCATCATTGTGAGTGTCATGTCAGGGGGTATGATCTGTCTAATGCCATCATTGTGAGTGTCATGTCAGGGGGTATGATCAGTCTACAGCCATCATTGTGAGTGTCATGTCAGGGGGTATGATCAGTCTAATGCCATCATTGTGAGTGTCATGTCAGGGGGTATGATCTGTCTACAGCCATCATTGTGAGTGTCATGTCAGGGGGTATGATCTGTCTACAGCCATCATTGTGAGTGTCATGTCAGGGGGTATGATCTGTCTAATGCCATCATTGTGAGTGTCATGTCAGGGTGTATGATCTGTCTACAGCCATCATTGTGAGTGTCATGTCAGGGGGGTATGATCTGTCTACAGCTATCATTGTGAGTGTCATGTCAGAGGGGTATGATCTGTCTACAGCCATCATTGTGAGTGTCATGTCAGGGGGTATGATCAGTCTAATGCCATCATTGTGAGTGTCATGTCAGGGGGTATGATCTGTCTACAGCCATCATTGTGAGTGTCATGTCAGGGGGTATGATCTGTCTACAGCCATCATTGTGAGTGTCATGTCAGGGGGTATGATCTGTCTACAGCCATCATTGTGAGTGTCATGTCAGGGTGTATGATCAGTCTAATGCCATCATTGTGAGTGTCATGTCAGGGTGTATGATCAGTCTAATGCCATCATTGTGAGTGTCATGTCAGGGTGTATGATCTGTCTACAGCCATCATTGTGAGTGTCATGTCAGGGGGGTATGATCTGTCTACAGCCATCATTGTGAGTGTCATGTCAGGGGGTATGATCAGTCTACAGCCATCATTGTGAGTGTCATGTCAGGGGGTATGATCTGTCTACAGCCATCATTGTGAGTGTCATGTCAGGGGGTATGATCTGTCTACAGCCATCATTGTGAGTGTCATGTCAGGGTGTATGATCAGTCTAATGCCATCATTGTGAGTGTCATGTCAGGGTGTATGATCAGTCTAATGCCATCATTGTGAGTGTCATGTCAGGGTGTATGATCTGTCTACAGCCATCATTGTGAGTGTCATGTCAGGGGGGTATGATCTGTCTACAGCCATCATTGTGAGTGTCATGTCAGGGTGTATGATCAGTCTAATGCCATCATTGTGAGTGTCATGTCAGAGGGGTATGATCAGTCTACAGCCATCATTGTGAGTGTCATGTCAGGGTGTATGATCTGTCTACAGCCATCATTGTGAGTGTCATGTCAGGGGGTATGATCTGTCTACAGCCATCATTGTGAGTGTCATGTCAGGGGGTATGATCAGTCTACAGCCATCATTGTGAGTGTCATGTCAGGGGGTATGATCAGTCTAATGCCATCATAGTGAGTGTCATGTCAGGGTGTATGATCTGTCTACAGCCATCATTGTGAGTGTCATGTCAGGGGGGTATGATCTGTCTACAGCCATCATTGTGAGTGTCATGTCAGGGGGGTATGATCTGTCTACAGCTATCATTGTGAGTGTCATGTCAGAGGGGTATGATCTGTCTACAGCCATCATTGTGAGTGTCATGTCAGGGGGGTATGATCTGTCTACAGCCATCATTGTGAGTGTCATGTCAGGGGGGTATGATCTGTCTACAGCCATCATTGTGAGTGTCATGTCAGGGGGGTATGATCTGTCTACAGCCATCATTGTGAGTGTCATGTCAGGGGGGTATGATCTGTCTACAGCTATCATTGTGAGTGTCATGTCAGGGGGTATGATCTGTCTACAGCCATCATTGTGAGTGTCATGTCAGGGGGGTATGATCTGTCTACAGCTATCATTGTGAGTGTCATGTCAGAGGGGTATGATCTGTCTACAGCCATCATTGTGAGTGTCATGTCAAGGGGTATGATCTGTCTACAGCCATCATTGTGAGTGTCATGTCAGGGTGTATGATCTGTCTACAGCCATCTTTGTGAGTGTCATGTCAAGGGGTATGATCTGTCTACAGCCATCATTGTGAGTGTCATGTCAGGGGGGTATGATCTGTCTACAGCTATCATTGTGAGTGTCATGTCAGAGGGGTATGATCTGTCTACAGCCATCATTGTGAGTGTCATGTCAGGGGGGTATGATCTGTCTACAGCCATCATTGTGAGTGTCATGTCAGGGGGGTATGATCTGTCTACAGCCATCATTGTGAGTGTCATGTCAGGGGGGTATGATCTGTCTACAGCCATCATTGTGAGTGTCATGTCAGGGGGGTATGATCTGTCTACAGCTATCATTGTGAGTGTCATGTCAGGGGGTATGATCTGTCTACAGCTATCATTGTGAGTGTCATGTCAGGGGGTATGATCTGTCTACAGCCATCATTGTGAGTGTCATGTCAGGGGGGTATGATCTGTCTACAGCTATCATTGTGAGTGTCATGTCAGAGGGGTATGATCTGTCTACAGCCATCATTGTGAGTGTCATGTCAGGGTGTATGATCTGTCTACAGCCATCTTTGTGAGTGTCATGTCAAGGGGTATGATCTGTCTACAGCCATCATTGTGAGTGTCATGTCAGGGTGTATGATCTGTCTACAGCCATCTTTGTGAGTGTCATGTCAGGGTGTATGATCTGTCTACAGCCATCTTTGTGAGTGTCATGTCAAGGGGTATGATCTGTCTACAGCCATCATTGTGAGTGTCATGTCAGGGTGTATGATCTGTCTACAGCCATCATTGTGAGTGTCATGTCAGGGTGTATGATCTGTCTACAGCCATCTTTGTGAGTGTCATGTCAAGGGGTATGATCTGTCTACAGCCATCATTGTGAGTGTCATGTCAGGGGGGTATGATCTGTCTACAGCCATCATTGTGAGTGTCATGTCAGGGGGTATGATCTGTCTAATGCCATCATTGTGAGTGTCATGTCAGGGTGTATGATCTGTCTACAGCCATCATTGTGAGTGTCATGTCAGGGGGTATGATCTGTCTAATGCCATCATTGTGAGTGTCATGTCAGGGTGTATGATCTGTCTACAGCCATCATTGTGAGTGTCATGTCAGGGTGTATGATCTGTCTACAGCCATCATTGTGAGTGTCATGTCAGGGGGTATGATCAGTCTACAGCCATCATTGTGAGTGTCATGTCAGGGTGTATGATCAGTCTACAGCCATCATTGTGAGTGTCATGTCAGGGGGTATGATCTGTCTACAGCCATCATTGTGAGTGTCATGTCAGGGGGTATGATCAGTCTACAGCCATCATTGTGAGTGTCATGTCAGGGGGTATGATCTGTCTACAGCCATCATTGTGAGTGTCATGTCAGGGGGTATGATCAGTCTACAGCCATCATTGTGAGTGTCATGTCAGGGGGTATGATCTGTCTACAGCCATCATTGTGAGTGTCATGTCAGGGGGTATGATCTGTCTACAGCCATCATTGTGAGTGTCATGTCAGTGGGGTATGATCTGTCTACAGCCATCATTGTGAGTGTCATGTCATGGGGTATGATCAGTCTACAGCCATCATTGTGAGTGTCATGTCAGTGGGGTATGATCTGTCTACAGCCATCATTGTGAGTGTCATGTCATGGGGTATGATCAGTCTACAGCCATCATTGTGAGTGTCATGTCAGGGGGTATGATCTGTCTACAGCCATCATTGTGAGTGTCATGTCAGGGGGTATGATCTGTCTACAGCCATCATTGTGAGTGTCATGTCAGGGGGGTATGATCTGTCTACAGCCATCATTGTGAGTGTCATGTCAGGGGGGTATGATCTGTCTACAGCCATCATTGTGAGTGTCATGTCAGGGGGTATGATCTGTCTAATGCCATCATTGTGAGTGTCATGTCAGGGGGTATGATCAGTCTACAGCCATCATTGTGAGTGTCATGTCAGGGTGTATGATCTGTCTACAGCCATCATTGTGAGTGTCATGTCAGGGGGTATGATCTGTCTACAGCCATCATTGTGAGTGTCATGTCAGGGTGTATGATCTGTCTACAGCCATCATTGTGAGTGTCATGTCAGGGGGTATGATCAGTCTACAGCCATCATTGTGAGTGTCATGTCAGGGGGTATGATCAGTCTAATGCCATCATTGTGAGTGTCATGTCAGGGTGTATGATCTGTCTACAGCCATCATTGTGAGTGTCATGTCAGGGGGGTATGATCTGTCTACAGCCATCATTGTGAGTGTCATGTCAGGGGGGTATGATCTGTCTACAGCTATCATTGTGAGTGTCATGTCAGAGGGGTATGATCTGTCTACAGCCATCATTGTGAGTGTCATGTCAGGGGGGTATGATCTGTCTACAGCCATCATTGTGAGTGTCATGTCAGGGGGGTATGATCTGTCTACAGCCATCATTGTGAGTGTCTTTTCATGGGGTATGATCATCATTGTAAGTGTCATGTCAGTAATGACTCTGACTCCTTAACCTTCAGCAGAGTGCACAAACTCTGTAGCATGGGCGAGGATCCTGAAATACTTTGGGTAGATTTTTAACTCCAAATTTTGCCTATGCAGTGCTGTTAGGCTACTCTTTTTCAATTTTTTTTACGTGCGTAACAATACACACAGGCGTCGGATCTTACTACCCAGAAACCAGGGTTAATTACTAGAGGTACACGTGAAAAAATCCTAGCCTCCAACGGGGCTTGAACCTGGGACCTCGAGCGCTCGAGGTGGACGTCATGCCTTGAGGCCACGCATCACCCCACTCCGCTGATTTTCTATATCCATTTGGTATGTGACTTGAGCTGCTGCTTCTCATTATCCACATATAGATGAAAGCTCCATTTATTCTCATGATCTTCCAGTGTTTCTCATTATCCACATGTAGATGAAAGCTCCATTTATTTCTTATTTCAGTGCTTGTTTTGTGATTCTGTTTCCATTTATCCTCATGATCTTTCGTTGGTTCTCATTATCCACATCTAGGTGAAAACTCCATTTGTTTCTTATTTCAGTGCTTGTTTTGTGATTCTGTGTCCATTTATCCTCATGATCCTCCAGTGTTTCTCATTATCCACTTGTAGATGAAAGCTCTGGCAAGAATGAGGGGGACCCCAACTTCCAGCTTGACATGATCAGAGGGGGGCTGAATGGCAGCATCAGTGACATCCTGACAGCAAGTGGCTATGGGGCAGAGACCTCCTTCAGGGCCGACACTGATACAAGGTTAGTGCTCTCTGCTTGACTTATCTCTGGCTTTTTGTTTGTGTTTTTGAAAAAAAGAAGACACAAACATTAGATTGCACAGTTTATTGCTTGGCATATTTTGCTGTGTCTCGTCTGGAGCATAATGCAGTAGCAATTAAGTTAATGAAGTGAATATATGAATCCTAACTGAAACGCAAAATCGACTACATTCAAAAGTAGCTGCATACTTCACCAGAGTAGTGTGCACCTGACGAGATGCAACAAAATACGCCAGGCACTAAATTGTTCAGTTTATTGTTTGCGGACTGTAGACCAAGAAAAAAATGTTGACATCCTGCCTGACTTGAACATCAAGGAGAACTGGCTTGTAAACAGCATCCTGTTCCCAGAACCTGAGGTATTCTGGACATGTCTAGAGAGTGTGATGATGGAGGGTGCTGTTTCCAGAAAATGAGATAGTGGCTGACCTTCACGAAGGAGGATACAGGACATTAAAGATTGTCATAGAGCTGTGTGCTGCCTCTATTCTACGGTCTGGTCCTTTCCCCCATGGAATACGCTTTGGCCATCCTCACTGTCAGTGCTACCCAGATCGAACGACTCGAAAAGGTGCAAAATGAAGCCATGCGCATTATTTTTGGATGTACTAGAGACACATCCTGTGGAGCAATGAGGTATCTACTTGACTTTCCAACAATGAACCAAAGGATCAGGATGTGGAGGGCTCGGGCATATCTCAAAATATGTGCTGATAAGAAACACCCACTGCATCAAGCGCTTTTTAGTGAAAAGGGCGACAGACTGAAGAGGGGGAAATCGTGGCTAGGTCGGGCAGAAGATGTTATTAGGCAAATATGCAGCCTAACCGACATCATACCTGGTGCAGAATGGATACCTGTGCCTCAGGCGTTTATTTGTACATTTTCCTGTATTGTCACACTCAACAGGCGATGTAGAGAAGAGAATCCTGTTGCTGTTAATGCAGAGGTCAACGCTCTCATCGGTGAAAATTCAGACGAAGCAGATGCAATAATCTATACAGACGGATCCGTTATACGCCAAAGAAGAAGCGCATGGGTATTTACAGCACGCTCAGCGGGCAGAACAGTCAAAGAAGCCAACGGCGCCTTCTCCATGACAACCAGCAGCATGACGATGGAGGTGATGGCAGTGACACAAGCGCTTGCCTGGCTTGAAACACAAAAATACACCCGCGTGTGTATACTCAGTGATTCAATGAGTATGATCCGGAGGGTTCAGGCAGGTTCAGTGCGAAGACAATGGCTTGAATCATTACAGAAGTCCACTGTCCGTGGAGTCACCTTTATTTTTGTTCCGGGACACGCAGGCGTCGATGGAAATGAAAGAGCTGACAGGTTGGCTGGATCCGCTATCACTACCGACGGTCAGCCTATGGATCATGCTGATATTATCAATGCCCTCAGAGAAATGGGAAGAATAGAGGACTTTGGTGGCAGTGAATCCACATCACTCGCCAGAATGGCAGACTTGGGAATTAAGATCGGCACAGCAAAAAACGAGACGCACACCAGCTACGCCAGAAGACTTGTTAATCAACATAGAACTGGTACTATTAGCCATCGGACGTTGAGGTTCATACTGAGGGGAGGATCTGAGCACCTATGGACATGTCCGGAGTGCAATGAGGATAACCCAACTAACTAACTATCTATCTGTGTGCTGCCTCGCTGGCAACAGCTTCTTGGCAGCTCCATGACAGCGGTGTCTATCCTTAAACACAACTAACCCAACATCGAGCATACAATCAGCCTTTAATGTAATTACAAGCACTGGGTAGTTCGCTGCAGAGATGGTCCCTGTTACTAAATGGTCACTGTTACTAAACCCGCCACACACCTGCTAGGGTGCTTTGCAGTCGCCACCCACGCACTGGCCTTGAGGTTACTAACCGGGTCCAAACCAACAGTCTGCTATCCAAGCTCTTTCCTGAGCCCTCGCAACTTTAACCTCAACTGTGGTGGCTCTGGAAAGTGTGATCGGACAGACCTCATTACCATGCCCAGTTGCATGGTTACCATAACCATGACATCATCCTCTGATCATCTTTTTCTTACCATGCAAAACTCTTGACATAACCTCTCATAAACCTGCCATGTGATAGTGTTGTCAATGAATAAGAGAGCGTCTCCATACTGCTATCAGTCTTTCAGAGACCATCTCACTATCATCAGTAATTAAAAGAACAATCTCAATAATGTTGTCAATATTAAAGAGACCATCTCAGTAGCAGTATCAGGAATGAAGAGAAATAATCTAAATCATGCTAGGACCATCTCTACACAAAACACCAAGTTAAACAACAACCTGAATGGACACACGTATACACTGATGGATCATTGGAGGGAGCAGACAAAAACTGAGGAGTTGGATTAGTGATCATCCTGCAAGATGGGGAACCACAGTAGAAACATCATGCACCTCTGGAAGACTCTCAACAAACTTTAGAGCATTGTAGCAAACAATTATTGATGCAACCAAAGGGCTTGAGGAAAGAAAAATTAAAAACAGCAAAATTGTTTTCCTATCTGGCTGCATGTCAGTCCTCCAGGCGACTCAGAGGGATCCATGAGACAGCATGGAGAGAGAACTGACCCACCAGCTACAAATACTCTCAGGAAACAATCAGAGCGTTCTCCACTGGACCCCGACCAGGAAATGAGTTGACAGATTTGCAAAAAAATGGAACAAAGTAGAAATAACACACCCATTCGTTGCCATTACCAGAAATCAAAACGTTCATCAAGAGAAAATAGAAGGAATTGTGGAGAGAACAAACCAACAGTAAACTTCCACAAGATCCCATCAGCAGACTCAACAGAAAGCAACATACGACAATCTTTCTTCTGCGAACAGGACAATGCAGGCTCAACTACCACATGCATAAAATAAAGATTGTACAGTCCCCACAATGTGCCTGTCAGACAGGACCACAAACACCTGAGACCTGCCCTGCCCACTCTACCAACAACTTCAAAAAGAAGCCTGGCTTCAAGAGCAAAGTGTGCAGAGCAAGCTATGGAAAACCACGAAGGACGTGCTGCTGACATGTGAGTTCATAGAGGCAGCCCACCTGATGGTCTGATCTGAACATACGAAACCGAACGCAAATATATCTTGTGTGCTTTCTTAAATATTTTGTATATTGTCTTAAGTTCCCAGTGGGATAAGAGATAAGGTAGCTGGTGTCTTGTGTTGTGTGTCTGCTGTATCGTGTATTTTTTCTTAGATATCTTGTCTCTTGTCTTATATTTCTTATATGTTGTCATATATTTGCTGTAGGATGAGAGATACAGTAGCAATATATTGTCTTATATATCATGCATTTGTCTTATATTTATTGTGTATGGTGTTTTTTTGTGTTTTTTAAATAAAGCAGATGTACTGTCTGCATATCTTATGTTTCCAGTTGCATGATGAGAGATAAAGTAGCTGGTGTCTTATGTTGTATGTCTGCTGTGTTGTACAACATATCTTGTATGTTGTCCTGCATATCTTGTATGTTGTCCTGCATATCTTGTATGTTGTCCTGCATATCTTGTATGTTGTCTTATATTCCCAGTGGGATGAGAGGTGCAATAGCTGGTGTATTGTGTTGTATGTCTGCTATGTTGACCTACATATGTCGTCTTATATATCTTGCATGTTGTCCTGTTTATCTTGCATGTTGTCCTACATATCTTGCATGTTGTCCTGTTTATCTTGCATGTTGTCCTACATATCTTGCATGTTGTCCTACATATCTTGCATGTTGTCCTGTTTATCTTGCATGTTGCCCTGTTTATCTTGCATGTTGTCCTACATATCTTGCATGTTGTCCTACATATCTTGCATGTTGTCCTACATATCTTGCATGTTGTCCTACATATCTTGCATGTTGTCCTACATATCTTGCATGTTGTCCTACATATCTTGCATGTTGTCCTAATAAATATCTTGTATGTTGTCTTATATCCCCAGTGGGATGAGAGATGCAATAGCTGGGATGCTGACAATGAGTGGTATGGTTGGAGGAGATTCCTTATTCTCCCCCACGGCTGGGAGCGGTCAGAAAAAATCCTTGGCCGCTGATGAAGAGGAGGAGCTGATGGCAGATTGTTACAGGGATTCTGAATTTGGTAATTTTTTATTCTAGTTTAATTTTGTATCAGCATTTGGAAGTTTGCTCACTTGATTTAGGTGCCAGTTTCAGCTGATTTGAACTATTTATGTGTTCTAGGTTGCGCTTGTATATTTTGGAGTTGCCATGGTACAGCGGCTAGATGATCACCTGAAGCTTGTGGGTTCAAATTAGATTTTTACCTCTCAAAAAATGACCTTGGCTCCCAGTCAACTCAGCCTAAAATGGGTACCATGTAAAGTCCCGGGAAGTAAAGGTGGCCAGCACGATGCTGACCACATCAGTCACAACTGGTTTATAAAATATAGTTCTAATACTATATACCCAGTACACCAAAGGCATAGAAAAGGATCACCTTTACTTGTATATCTGGTGATTGTCAGGAGTCGTCCCGGTTATGGGACAGTGGAGTGTGATGATGATGAATCGGCAGGTGTGTGCGGAGTGACCCCTAACTAAACTTAGGGCCAGTGCAGACAAGCCAAAACAGTCTGTTGTTCGACTAAGTGTGTTAGTACTTTACGGTGTAGGTAGGACTTGTTTCACTTAGATCTCATCGAGCAGATAGATTCACGATCGTAGTGAAACAAGGTCATGCATTGTTTGTAGCGATAGCATCTGGCGACACACCTTCAGCCATCACTCTGCGTGTGCCGCAGTATCTTTGGCATTGGGAGACAGCGCTGTACGGGAGTGTTGTAGGATCTCAGGGCTTATTTAATGAAACGCGTAAAGGCAAGTCTAGCGATATTCAAACTAGAGCGGCCTGGTTTCAAAATAAGGAGCCGTACTACTTCTGAGGCTAAACTGCATGAGTTCTTAGTCTTTGATATTAAAGATTGTGTGTGTTTGTTGCATGTGCGTTAGGGTTGGTATGTTCTTTAGCAGATTTATCTGTCACCGGCCTTCGGCGCAGTCATAGATTTAGACACTGGACAAGTAGGTCTTTGACAGTGATATTGTTCTAGATTATTGTGTAGCAGGTAGGGATTGTAATAGTAGGCCTCTAACTTTTCAAGTGTAAAAAAAAAAACATTGGTAATGCATAGAGCTGCCAAAGCCAGCAGAACCTTATTCTGTTATATTGTGTGACAGTGGATTTGGGGTGGGGGGGGGGGGGGGGGGGTAATAATGTGACCAGCTAGGCCAACTGTCACCTAGCAAAAATGCCATTAATGGCTACTATAATTGGAAATTTGCTGGAATCGAATGTGTTGGGCCAAAAGACGCATATATTTCAGCCTACCTTTAACCTGCAATACAGTGTGGCAATTGCTGCTTCAATGGCAACACAGATGTCAGTGGCTATTTAGCATCTTTTTTTTTTAGAGCTGTTGTTTTGTAACCAGATCGAATCTGTATTGCTGCCACAGTTAAGTCTGATGGTGGCATGTTGTGTTGGCATGACTATGACGACTTTTCTGATAATTTTATTCTGGTGTATTTGTAGTGTATCCATCATTTGAGCTGTCTGATGAGGAGGAGGAATCCATATATAAGGCCAGGAAAAAAGCAGAGAAGGACGATAACTGGAATCCTAAAGGTAAGGAAAGTTGTTTTACTATATTGCTGATGATGCTTAACTTTGATATTCATTGAAGGTATTGTCTTCACTCTTCTTCTTAGCCTTCACCGACTGTAAACTGAAGCAGAAATTTTTGATTGTTCGTCCACTTCTTGATTTTTGTCTCGTTCCAGAACTTGAGTTTTGCCCAAGTATCTGTTTTAAAGATCTATCTTATTTGTATGCAGACTATTTAGTTCTTTGTTTTTCAGGCAAATGTACTCCAACTTCAAAGGAAACACCCCTAATTGGTCACCTTTTATGACATGCTTGTTAAGGATGCAGTGGATCTATTTCCGCCCTCCTCTAGTGAGGCTCTTGAACCCACACTAGGTCTTCATTAAACAAAACGGCATGTTAGGAACCTTGGGAGAAACTACAAATATAGTCATATCTTAGCGTGGCCTCTATTTTGAGGTATAGGATTATCTTTGCCCAACATGCAGTAAGATTTTGATCAGAAGTTGTAATTTCACAGTCACCAGAGTTTCATCAGGAGTGCCTCATCAGGTCTGTGTTCTTGCCATTGAGCTAAACCATCTTGGTATTTATCTGTTTATTTTTGCGCTGCGCGCCGCTTCCCCCCTCCCCCCACCCCCATTTTTCACCCCCGGTTTGTTAATTGTCAGTAAGACTTGTTTTCTCCAAATCTCTCTCCATCATGTGTCTCCCGAAAATCTTCATTTTAGTTTTAAGAATGTGTTTATTTGGTTCATCATAATCAGCTGCAGTATGCACATGACTAGATACAGTGAAATATGCCAGACAGTCTGTTATTGTTTGTCTTTTTTTTTGTTCAAACACTACACTGTTAGAGACAACTGCCAGACTTACAAGACAACAGCAGTTTATGTTTATGTTTGGTCAGCGGATCAACATCATGGCACACAGGTGTAACTCATAAGTGCTCCATTCTACTTATAACTCAAGCCTGAGTCTGAAGAATCTCAGCGTAGTGCACAAACTCTTTTGCAGCGGCGAGAATCCTGAAATACTTTGGGTAGATTTTGCTTGGGCAGCCCCGGTAGGCTACTCTTTTGCAATTTCCAACTGCCAAGACATTTTTTACATGCACAACAATACACACAGGCGTCCGATCATACCACCTGGAGACCAGGAAAATTCAGCAGCACATAACAGCAGTGGGTACCTACTGTGCCTGAGTTATCCATGGAGGTTGGTTGTATCCATACTAATCCACAGTGGGGTACTCAGGTCACAAAACTAGGTTTCCAACTAGTGAAGTGCTGCCTCATGGTGTGCTTTTGCACAGACCGGGTCTCTAGTCTACTAGGGTACAATACACATGATCGTCCGGTCTTACTACCCACAGACCAGGGGAAATTACTAGAAATCCAGGTGACAAAATCCCTGCCTTCACTGGGGTTTGAACCCAGGACCTCCAACACTTAAGGCAGATGCCATACCTCAAGACCACTCAGCAGCACACAATACTATGCCTAAGTTATCCATGGATGTTGGTTGTATCCATACTAATCCACTCAGGTCACAAAACTGGGTTTCCTACTTGAGAAGTGCCGCTTCATAGTGTGCTTTTGCACAGACCAGGTCTCCAGTCTACTGGGATAGCCAGTGAAATGAAAATCACTTTAAATAATTTGAAGGGAAAAAGACAATTGAAATATTTTTTTCACGTTAAAAAAACATAACACTCTTTTTAAAACCATAATGAAGGGAAAGGTTGAGGGCAAGAGTTAGACAGTGATACACATGAGAGGATAACGTCAAAAGATGGGTGAACAGCAGTTTGAGAGAGTGTACAACCAAGACAAGAGACAGAATGTGTTGGAGAACCATTGTGGCCAACCTGCAATGTGGAGATGGCACCTGATTGATTGATGATGGTGGTACTTTGATACAGGGTTGAGAGAAAAGTTTCTGCACCATCCACACACAGATAGAGGCGAGCCTTTTTCTCGGCTAAAATTACCTGATCTTCATTGCATTAGACTGTAGAGTTGTAACCGGTAGCTTGTCCACAATTTCAGTTTACTTTTTATATTGCAAGAAATGTGCCCTGTGTGATCAGCTATTGATTGTGTGTATCAAACACCAGATAGTGCCTAATTATATCTTTAACATTTGGCCTCAGCATCCTAAGGAAACCTGGCTATACATTGTACAGTACCCCATATGTTGCCACTTTGAAACTAATATGTCACTTTTATTTCATTGTGGTTATTATTCCGTTTGTGCATCTTGGTAAATAAGCTGGCACATTAGCAAACAGTCAGCCTGTTCAACAACATCCCCTGACCCCATAACAGAGTATGCCTTGGTCTATTTTTTGCAGCCATTTACTGAGATGTTTGACAAATGTTATCTGATTGGCCTTTTTCTTTTTCTCCACGCAGCTCGAATTGAACCAGGATCTGTGAAAATTGACAGGGAACACAGAGTTGGAGTGCAGAAAGAATCTCTGGCAAGCACACTAGCTACAACAGCAGCCAAGCTGGCAGAAAATCCCCCCGTAAGTCTATCATGTTGTTGCTTCTATTTGCATGTTTGTGGGTAATTCTCGCGGAGAGAGCTTAATTAACTTCAGTAAATGAACGTGCAAATGATACATTATTGATTAAAGATGGAAAAAAAAACGTGATCTGCAGTATTTATTAAATGCATGAGTGTTTGACAATAAGAAACTGGAGTTATAACTACAACAAAACAGAAATTATGGAAAGAATCCAGGTAAATGGGAAAATTGCTAAACACATGAAACTGAAACTGTACAGCAATGTTGGCACAGTCATTATGTCTGTTGCATGGTATAAAGTTTAGAATAAAAATCACAACTGCAAAAGTAGCCTTTTCCAGAGGATTGAAAACCAAACCAACCCCATTTAACAATATGCCAACAACTCTGTCTTGAGTCTACGTCAGATGACTCAGTGAAGAGAGGCTAAGCACTGAGGTTCCAGCAAAAAAAAAAGAATTAGAATTCCCATAGCCAACACCCTTTTTTGACTTGGAGATACCCTCCAGACACAGGCAACATTACTTGAGCAGAATCCTCCTCTCTTTGTCTGATCTGCAATGACAGCTTTGAGATAACGGGTTCTGATCTTTTCTGTACTGTATGACAGGGCTTCAAATGTAAACCTTAAAAATGTGATCAAAGTTACAGTAACCATGTCATTGTTGTTAAGGATGTCAAGAATGTTAGACACATGACATCACAATGCAGACAAACAAGATGATTCATAATGACAGTTTAAAGATGGCTGCCCCACTTTTGGCATGTACTAAATAGGAGCAGCGTTTTGGTATCCATTATTGGGTCAATGAAGGGGTGAAACCCACAAAATTTCATCTGGTAATGAAGATCTAGTATGGTGATGCATGCTTGTCAGTCCTACAAGCGTATGAGTGAAGTAGGAAGTTTCAAAACAGCATGACTTCTTTACAACTGAGGTTAAACACCATTTAGATGAGATTTCACATTCTCTTAAATGAGTGTGTCTGTCAGTCAGTAGCCTGTCCTTTGCAGAATCTTGCTTCCATAACAACCTTCCGGAAAACTTCTAGATCACAAGCAAGCAGTCCTGCGTCCGATACACCCATCTGGAGATCATCTGCCATATCTTGCACTCATCTTCTCTTTGGTCTTCCTCTTCCTCTCTTCCCAGGCATAAACCCCTCGATTATTGTTCACTCTCAACTTTTGTGATGTTTCAAGTGACCAAAATATTTCAGTTTTCTGTGTTTTATCATCTTTGATAGCCAGTCTTCTTCAGTATTCAGTTTTTGAAGTATGGATGCATTTGTTCTTTTCTTTACCCATGGTATTCTTTAAACCTGTCTATAAAATTTGTATTCAAAGCATTTATGTGCTGTTTGCCCGGCTCACTGGCGTAGTTGGCTAAACCGGATTTTGCGGTAACCGGGTGACAAACTCCTTGTGGTCCGGGTTCACGCCCGGGGTTAGGCAGAAAAGCCACATTTCTCCCAGATTTACGGTATTTATCATGGAATCAACGACGAAGGGTTGCAATATCCATAATACCGAGCCTGAGGGTTAACAACTCATGGCTTCTGGATACTAAAAAAAAAAGAAAAAAATGTGCTGTTCAGCTTATTTAGTAATTGTCTAGGTCTGACAGGCGTAAGTTACAGTAGGAAAGATGCATGCTCTTAGAAACCTAATTAATGAGTATTTAAATCTATTTATTCATGGAATGCTTTCCTGATGTTGTTTTGTGCTCTGTCTCTAACCTTTCAGGTTGAGAGGAAGTTCTTAAAAAAGTCAGCAAAACCAAAAGTGCCTGAGAAAAAGGAATTTGAGGTCCAGCCTCTGCCAGGTCCTTCAGGTGTCTTAGATGAGCCAGGTGGGTTGTCAGTCTTGCTGTTTCCAGCTTCACATACTGATCATCTTCTCACTGTCTTAGATGAGCCAGGTGGGTTGTCAGTCTTGCTTTTTCCAGCTTCACATACTGATCATCTTCTTGCTTTCTCTCTTAGACAGTGTGTCCTTGCTTTCTCTCTCAGACATTGTGTTTTTGCATTCTCTCTCAGACACTGTGTTCTTGCATTCTCTCAGACAGTTTGTCCTTGCTTTCTCTCTCAGACATTGTGTTTTTGCATTATCTCTCAGACATTGTGTTCTTGCTTTTTCTCTCAGACATTGTGTTTTTTCATTCTCTCAGACAGTGTGTCGTTGCTTTCTGACTTAGATATTGTGTTCTTGCTTTCTCTCTCAGACATTGTGTTCTTGCATTCTGTCTCAGACACTGTGTTCTTGCATTCTCTCGGACAGTGTTCTTGCTTTCTCTCTCAGATGTGTTCTTGCATTCTGTCTCAGACACTGTGTTCTTGCATTCTCTTGGACAGTGTGTTCTTGCTTTCTCTCTCAGACATTGTGTTCTTGCTTTCTCTCTCAGACAATGTGTTCTTGCATTCTCTTGGACAGTGTGCTTTCTCTCTCAGACAATGTGTTCTTGCATTCTCTTGGACAGTGTGCTTTCTCTCTCAGACAATGTGTTCTTGCATTCTCTTGGACAGTGTGCTTTCTTTCTCAGACAATGTGTTTTTGCATTCTCTTGGACAGTGTGCTTTCTCTCTCAGATATTGATTATGTTTTTGGAATGACCCCCCCCCCCCCCCTTCCCATCCCTGCTTTTGAGCCGTTTGCGGCAGATCACCTTGTGCTGGCTTTGACAGTGCTATTAATAGCCGACCATTCAGGAGACAGCGGCCAACTACTGAATGTAAAATTGCCTAGCGAAATTGCAAACAGCCAGAAAGGATATGTAACTTTCCTGTGTGGGGAGAAGAATTCTGGGAGAAAATAGACCCACTGCCTCCTTAACAAGCACATCGTACAAGGCGACTAATAGGAGAGTTTCCTTCGAAGTCGGAGTGCATCTGCCTGGGAGGTGAGAAATCAACAGTCTGCATACAAATAATCCATATCTGTAAAATGGATTTGCACACAAAGCTCAAGTTCTGGAACTAGACCAAGGTATAGAAATGGCCCAACAACCACAACTTTCCACCAGAGTTGACCAAGGTCCAGAAATGGCCCAACAACCACAACTTTCCACCAGAGTTGACCAAGGTCCAGAAATGGCCCAACAACCACAACTTTCCACCAGAGTTTACAGCCGGAGAACACTAAGAAGAAGATTTGCATCTAACATAACTTCATAAATAAAGGACCATTTTTACAGCATTGGTGCCTCAGGTATAAGGTGCTAGACCCATAGTTTTATTGACCAATTGGCACTAGGTGGCTGATGTGGTTAGCATCACGCTGGTGAGCTTGTACTTTCCAGGGGATCCTTCATAAAAGATAAATTGACTATTTTACCACAAAATGAGTACGCCTACAATTACAATAATTTTGTTCCAATTTCACATGTTTTTTAATTTTTTTTAAATTTTAAATCCTGCAATAAGTTGACAGGGACGCACAAAAAGCTGAGAAATCATTTTGTTTTCTTTATTGAAGACATAAACGTACCTACAGATATTGGAATTAACATTGAATTAATTGTGTCCACCGAGTTCACACGTCTGTTTATATTTCCAGTCAATGCATTTCGGCCAGGAATCAAACGCCCGGTTGATCCGTGTGCAGGAGTTTCTAGTCAGAGTCCTCCCAAATGTAAGTAACCATATGCCCAGTTCATCAGTGGCAGGAAGTGGATTAATATGTTGCTCTTTTCTCATCTGTTGATCCTGTATCTTTTTATTTAATTGGTTTATCAGTTTATTGCTAATGAATAGAGACATTGGAGAACATTGTGACAACTGGAAAGATCAGTGGGAACAGGGGTAAAGGCAGACCAAGAAAGATGATGCTGAATGGCCTGAAACGATGGCATGGAGGGATATCGTCAAGAGAGCTGTAACAGGGATCACGATCTGTGGAGACGCATGAGTGCCTACGCCAGTTGGCGGGGCACATGATGATGATGATTGATTTTTTATTTTGTGTGGCAGCTTTGGATGTGAGCCCTGGAGTTTTACTCAATCTCCCACCCCACCCCCACAGCTTTTCAGCTGAAATACATAACAATTATTAGATAACTGTGGACAAAGAAGAGAAGCACCAACATCCTAGATGATCGAGAAAAACTAAACTGGTGCCAAAACAGCATCATGTCCGGAAAGCTGAGGTGTTTTGGGAATATGGTGGCCAGGAAAGAATGGTGACAGAGGGTACAGATTCTGGAAAACAAGGCATTCCAGCCTCCATGGAGGGGGAGAGAAGACATGGAAGATGCATTGACTGTGAAAGCATATAAGGCTGGAGAATTGGCTAGAGCGGGAGAATTCTCTTGCATTCTGTGAAGAGTGTATAATTGTGTTAAGGATCTGCTGATTGATGATGGGTTCATTAACACTTGCTTATCAGATTGTACTTGTGGGGAAGAGGGAGGGGTGGGTTGAGATGTGTCATTGTAGAGAGAGTTGCTCTCATGATGTACCAACTGATGTTTTGTATAGTGGTGGGTGGGTTGAGACCTGTCATTGTAGAGAGAGTTGTTCTCTCTCATGTGCCAACTGATGTTTTGTATACTGTTGGGTTGGTTGAGAGCTGCCATTGTAGAGAGAGTTGTTCTCTCTCATGTGCCAACTGATGTTTTGTATACTGTTGGGTTGGTTGAGAGCTGCCATTGTAGAGAGAGTTGTTCTCTCTCATGATGTACCAACTGATGTTTTGTATAGTGGTGGGTTGGTTGAGAGCTGCCATTGTAGAGAGAGTTGCTTTCTCTCTCTCTCATGATGTACCAACTGATGTTTTGTATACTGGTGGGTTGGTTGAGAGCTGCCATTGTAGAGAGAGTTGTTCTCTTTCATGTACCAACTGATGTTTTGTATAGTGGTGGGTGGGTTGAGAGCTGCCATTGTAGAGAGAGTTGTTCTCTCTCATGTGCCAACTGATGTTTTGTATACTGTTGGGTTGGTTGAGAGCTGCCTGTGTAGAGAGAGTTGTTCTCTCTCATGTACCAGCTGATGTTTTGTATAGTGGTGGGTTGGTTGAGAGCTGTAATTGTAGAGAAAGTTGTTTTCTGTCATGTACCAACTGATGTTTTGAATAGTGGTGGGTGGGTTGAGAGCAGATTATAGAGTTGTTCTCTCTCATGTAACAACTGATGTGGTTGCCATGTGTGCCTGTCAAATCGTAAGGCTGGCTTCAATCCCCAGTGGAGACAGGATTCTGTGATTTGGAGTGTGGGTTCCCTTGTTTTACTTTTTGTTTGCTTGTAATGGATTTTCTTTTCTTTCTCCAGTTTTCTCATCAAAGTGTGTGTGTGTGGGGGGGGGGGGGGGGGGGGGGTGTTATTGGTATCTTATTGAAGTTATGTTTAGTTATATTAATTTCTGCTTCTCTGGTGCCAGTCAGTATATTAATGTTTGTTTAACATATTTAGTCACATTTGCTTGTTGGCTGAAGGTATTTGTAATCATTTCTTTTTGTTTACTGTACACCTTCTCCTCGACTTACCATCTACACTTACGACCACACACACAAAAAGGAAGAAAGATACCTGCATTGGTAGGATCATAAAAGTTCGTGGAACTGATTTGGTAAAGATCGTCTAGGAAGTTAGCGGGTCGAAACAATCGTTGAAGAAGGATCTTTCTAATGATGACCCGTGGAACCCTGCTGTGCATGCTCCCGGTGGAGTTCTTATGTATTTTTCACATTTTTGTAGCACAGCTTTGTTCTTTGCGTACATTGGTGTCACTCCCAGGTTCTCTTTAGTTTGCTACAGGAGGAGTCAATTGGATGGGTATAGATGAGGTGAAAGGTGGTTTTGTCGATAGTGGCGATGATATCTTGCTAGCTGCATCTTCTCACATGACTGATGCTTGAAAATATAATGTCTGGAAACAACTTTTCTTTTCTGTACTGTCTTTATTGTGATACCTCGGAAATGTCACAAACAACATCAATGGTATTCTGAATAATGCCATGTTCTCTCTATGGTTACATACTCTTAAGGTCGCTTTGTGTTTTTCATCTCTAGTTACTTTGTTAATTGGTTCTAGTGTCTGTAACTGCCACCTGGCTTCTAGTGCTGTCTAGTACTAATGGCTTAATCGTTGACTCTAGCATCTCAATAGTGTTCCTACCTAATTGTTGACCATGTATCTTGTGTGTTGTCTTTGTAGCTCGATGTCTTGTTTTATGTCTCCTCTCTAGTGTCTGTCTTCGAGGTTCCATGTGACTGGTTCCTCTCCTTCTAGTGTTGAGCAGGCATCTCCACAACTGCAAGGGTCCATGTTACTAGTCCCTTCTCTTCCAAGTCTTGATGACTGAAAGCTCTTTGAGGGTCAATATTAATAGTCCCTCCTCTTCTAAGTTTCGACAACTGAAGGCTCCTCCAAATTGTTTCTCACTCTTTTATACTGAGATGCTTTAATGCGTGGTATTTGTTTTCTTCTCTTCTATAAATTTCTAGTACGTCTCAACATGTTTACTGTGTGCTTTTTTACGTGGGATTCTCTAATTATATCTCAATTGCTAAAGATTTCATCATCTTATTCTGCACCTAAAAATACTAATTAGATTGAGAGCTGTCCTCGTGGAGCTTTCAGAAAGCCAGTACAACTGTGTTCACTTTGAGAGGGCACGTCAACAATTACGTCAAATACTTTTTATAGATTATTCATTTGCAAAATATCTCTCTGTTATTAACAAAGCTTCTAGAAAAGGGGAATGTCAAGGTTACCCAAACTTGGTGATTCCGGTACATCTTAGCTTTGCGCAATATCCTGCCTCCTAACAAACAAGTGTTGACGTCTCCCAGTTACATATGTACAATAATTATGTGTGCATAGATTATTTTATGTAAATTTGTGTAAGTCATTTGAATTAAAATAGTGTTTAATAATATCAGTTTGACTTACAACCAGCATGTCCTTTTAGTTGTAACAGAACTCAGTCATAAGTTGAGAAGACCCTTTGTTTAGCCATCCTTAATGGCTGCCTAAGGATTTATTTCGTCATATCTATAAGTGAAGTGGATATAGTTTGTCATATCTGTTAGTAAAGTAAAGGACCCTTTTACCTGCCTTCAGGTGTATTAGGCATATAGGGCTAGCCATATATTTTATAGAACCGATCGGCACTCAGTGGGTGATGTGGTTAACATCACGCCGGCAGCCTTTACTTCCCAGGGTTGTATCCAGTGCCCATTTAAGGCTGGGTCGACCTGGGTATCTATTAGTAAAGTGGATATATTAAGTCATGTCTCCTAGTTAAGTGTTTGTATATATATAGTCATCATTTTGATGGGTGTTAAACATTGCTAGGAAAGACCACGGTTAAGTGTTTGTATATATAGTCATCATTTTGATTGGTGTTAAACATTGTTAGGAAAGACCACGGTTATGTGTTTGTATATATAGTCATCATTTTGATGGGTGTTAAACGTTGTTAGGAAAGACCACGGTTAAGTGTTTGTATATATAGTCATCATTTTGATTGGTGTGAAACATTGTTAGGAAAGACCACAGTTAAGTGTTTGTATATATAGTCATCATTTTGATGGGCGTGAAACATTGCTAGGAAAGACCACGGTTAAGTATTTGAATATATAGTCATCATTTTGATGGGTGTGAAACATTATTAGGAAAGACCACAGTTAAGTGTTTGTATATATAGTCATCATTTTGATGGGTGTGAAACATTGTTAGGAAAGACTATATCTGACAGCTGCTTGAAAAATTCCTGTTGATTCATTTCTTCCACAGCCAAGAAGCCAAAGAAAGGGCTGGCAACGACCAAACAGCGTCTGGGGAAGTTATTGAAGATCAAGAAGATGGTGTTCTAGGCAAACGTACACATGAGTCATTGATATTAAACTAATCTCTTGTTGAGGCAGCTGATATCCCAGGACATTGTGTTTTTGATCTTATGCTCAACTAATGATGAGATTATGATTTATGACAGTCACTGTCACGTCGGCCACTCTGACATCATCCACCTAAATGTCACTGCGACATTTGTCAGCACATTTGTGACCCCTGTTTGCTGTTCATTCTTCAGTCTGTGTCATATTCATACATTTACTAACAAGACTACTGTGGCCTTCACTGACATATCAGTCTGTGACCTTTATCATTAGATAGGAGATCCCATTCACTGATAGGCTTGTGTGACATCATTCATACATTAATCAAGTCAGCGATGGTATCCTCTGACATGTCAGTCTGTGATATCATAAACTGAAAAGATTCACTCTAATCTAGAATGCAGTCTAGGACAAAACACACGGAAACCTTTGGCCCCGAGACACAAGTTAAACCGGCATCGCCATCCATTACTCATCCCCAGCGAAGATGTTAAATTGGCATTGCTGCACTGGCCAGCCCCTGATAAGCGTAGTTAACAGTACTGGTTCTGTTTGCACCTACGCAGTGTTTAGGACAGGAGGATATGATTATATTTACTAACAATAGCAGTGTGGGAGAGGCAGTTATCTTAAAAAGGCCTGTAATAATATTCTCCATCATCCTTTTCGGGATGAAATTTTTTATTTGAAGCTCCACCCTGGCTTTTGCCGGGGGCCGCAATATAGGCAGGCCATAAATATGGCCAAATGTCTGAACGCGGTTTCTGGGACCTCTCCACGGCGATCCTCATCCGCATGGTGGCACTTTGTGTCATCGGGTGTTTATCGCTTGTGTGATGTCCTAGTAGAGTAGAAAGTCAGCTAGTCAGTCAAAATTGTAATGTCGCAGATTGGCTGGCACGATATGAGGCACCATATTTAGTTACCAGATTTATTACATCTCAAGGGGATGTATTCTATTTAAATCTCTGCTCTGCTCATGTTTACTGATTACTTCTCTTTATGTATTTATTTTTAAAAACATTTTAAAGTGTATTTTTTAAAACACAAACAAGTTTGTTTCTTTTACATGACTGTTGTACTAAGAAAATTTTTTCTCAAGAGTCCTCAGGTTGTGACCTTTTTCCCCTCTAGGAATTTCTGGGGCCGAAGGTCCATCTCAGCCCATCTAGGACATCGTCATCTGATAGTTAGCCAGTGTAATTAAGACGCTACCAGCCAGCCTGCGACACTATTCATTGACTGGCTGGTTCGTACCTGACGTCTTCTGTCAGTGACAAACACTGTACAGTCAGGTAGTCCAGATATTTTAGTAAAAGTAAAGAACCCCTTTCCACACCTTTGTGTTGTGACCTGTATTTTATAGACCAATCAGCACTCGGCGCCTTTACTTCCCATGACTTTACCTGGTACCGCTTTACGGCCGGGTCGACCTGGAAGCCAAGGTCATTTTGGTTTTCAAAGTCCAGCTCTGTCAGGACCTGAACCTACAACATTCGGTTAGCAGGTGAACCTAGCCACTACACCACAGCGGCTCCCAAAACATTGTAACTACATTAATCCTTGTTGAAAGAACAGTAATCATTTACTTCCCAAGAGAAAGTAATGCAGCAGTGTTGATGAGACTCCAACTCATAACTCATCTGGCATGTGTCTCCAGGATACTCTAGTGCAGTAGTGTTGATGAGACTCCAACTCAACTCATTCGGCATGTGTCTCCAGGATAGTCTAGTGCAGTAGTTCTCAACCTGTGGGTCACGACCCTTTTGGGGGATCGAACGACCCTTTCACAGGGGTTGCCTAAGACTATTTTACTATCAGAAAACACATATCCACTGAAGTTATGAAGTAGCAACAAACATCATTTTATGGTTGGGGGTGTCGCCACAGCATGAGCAACTATTAGAGGGTCACGGCATTAGGAATGTTGAGAGCCACTGGTCTAGTGTCATGTCTGTTCACTACCTGTGTGTCTGTATGTTGTGTTCAGTTTTATCCATGCTCAATTCTCATCTCTTTGTTCATTTTTTTCTTTCTTTTCTAGTTTCTCGTTCCCTCCCTCTGTCCTAGGTTTGTGTCCTAAAAAAGTCAAACCTCAGGGCATAAGCTGCTAAACTTGACAAGCTAATCGTTCTCAGAATTTTGTTTGTTTATTCGACGGATCAACATCATGGCACACAGGTGTGACCCATAAGTGCTCCCTTCTACTTTTAACTGAAGCCTAAGTCCATAGAATTTCAGCGCAGTGCACGAGGATCCTGAAATACTTTAGGTAGATTTTCAACTCAAAATGTTGCCAGCGCTATCAGGCTACTCTTTTTCGATTTCCAACTGCCAACGTATTTTTTTATGTGCGCAAACAATACACACAGGTGTCCGGTCTTACTACCCAGAGACCAGGGGAAATTACTAGAATTCCACATGAAAAATACTCAGTCCTTACCGGTGTTTAAACCAAGGACCTCCAGCACCCAATGCCATACCTCGAGACCACTCCGCCCTTTAAAAACATCCTATGTTCTTCTTCAGTACTGTCTACCACACAATTCTCACATCCTGATCAGTTCTTCAACTACGTTGTTCTGTTCCGTTCCTATTTATTTATTTATGATACCTTGCTGTCCAACCTACATGTTTTATGTCTCAAACTTTGAAGTTACATGACACATTCAACTATGTGACCTGTAAACCAGTTACCACAGAGGTCAAGTGTCTACATAGGCAGCACTGCAACTACTGATACTTTGTACATTTGTAAAGTCTTTACCGACATTCATGTATACTTTTCTATGTAGTGTTGTACATAACTCATGATTGTGTATAAAACTTATCACTTTTGTTTATTGTTTGTTACAGATGTTGAGTGTTGTGTTTTACCCTGTTTTATTGAGCTGACTGATGAGTGTCAGGTTGAGTGTTGTGTTTTACCCTGTTTCATTGAGCTGACTGATGAGTGTCAGGTTGAGTGTTGTGTTTTACCCTGTTTCATTGAGCTGACTGATGAGTGTCAGGTTGAGATGAGATGATGCTTGTTAATTGTGATTATCAAATGAGATTGTGTAAATTGTTCAGTCTGTCTAATCCTCAAGTAGTGAGTCTGTGAGAACATTCATATCAGATAATGTGATGTCAGAGAGAAGACATCAAATTGTGTGGAGTCTGAGAGAGAATAAATACCTCAGATTGTATAGAGTTAGTGTAGTCATAATTTTCACAAAAGAATGCCTCAGATTGTATAGAGTTGGTGAAGTCATAATATTCACAAAAGAATACATCAGATTGTATAGAGTTGGTGTAGAAATAGTATTCATGAATGAATACATCAAATTGTGTGGAAGTTGGTTTTGGTGTAGTCATAGTATTCACGAAAGAATGTATCAGATTGTGTGGTGCTGGTATAGTCTTATGGCTAGTAAGTTCACAAGAGAATACATCAGACTGTGGGGTTGGTGAAATCCTTGTGAGTTCACGAGAGAATACATAAGATTGTATGGAGTTGGCGTAATCATACAGTGAGTTCACGAGACAATACATCAGATTGTATGGAGTTGGAGTAATCATACAGTGAGTTTACAAGAGAATACTTGTAATATCTGGAGCTAGTGTTCTCATACATGAATGGGTTCACAGAAGAATGCATTAGAAAGGTCTTGTGTTTTGGGGGAACTGGTCAAACATTGTGATCCTATCAGTTCTGGATAGAGCCAGTGCCAATCTTCTGGTATGAGCCATTGTTACCAGAAAAATATATTTAAACACAGCAGCAGACTAAGCTCAAGATAGAATGATAGCCTAGTCCTTATCAGGACTCCTAAAGAAACTCCTCTTTCACCACAATGAAAATGCCACCGACCAGGTGCTGGACAGACTTGGATGGCATGCATAAAAAGTAATAGCAAGGCACAACTGCATGCCACAAAAAAAGAAAGACAACTGCAAAAAACCAAGGACCTTAATTATAACTGAAGCTAATAGCTCTTTGAATGAGGTCAAAATTTTTTCCCTCAAAAAGATCAGAGTGAAGTTAAGGAAGTACTGACGGGAAGATATGCTGTCATGGCATGTTGACAGGATCATTTGTGTGTGTGTGCCCTTACATGTGGGTATGTACCCTTGTGTGTGGGTGTGTAACCTTGTGTGTGGGTGTGTACCTTTTTTTTTTATGTGAGTGTGTGTGACATATTATCACATTGATCAGCATGCTAGCCTGTTGAAAATTGACACTGGGCTTCCAGACCTAAAACAGACCGTATTTCCCCCAAATGTAATATGTACTTTTTTCTCCCAAGATATATAGGGTATTAAAACAATGTGTGTCTTATAGAACGGTAGTAGATCATTATGTAATTAACCCCCCCCCACCCCATTTCCGGTCGCAAAATTAAGGTGCATCTTATACTTGGAGAATTACGGTACCTGGAAATATTCTGGAAAGTAAGGTCTGCCAGTGTGGCACTGACTGCATGACAAAGTGCAGCAGACTTCGGCAGTCTTCTTGTTTGGTCCTACTACTTATGCCGACAAAACGTCACAGAGAGGAGTTGTGTGTCTTTTCCTGTTTGTTGCTAGTTGCTTACCTGTTAATGTTGTATTGCATTTCTGTAGTGTCTTGTTTGACCTCGTAGCCTGCTGTTCTCTTGTCAGACACTCTAGCTGTCAGCTGATTTAGTTCCATTCTGATCAGATGACCAAACCATTTGTTTTCTTGATATTCTATGGAATCATTCACCAGTACTGTGTCTACTATTATTCTTCGGTTTTTTAGTGGTCTTTTCTTGTTCCCGCCCTATTTCTTATACATCTCATTTCACATGTTGTAATGTTATGTTGCGTATATGTTTTCTAGGTCTATCTGTGTCTGTCATTGATAGCAGAAAGTTGGTACAAATAGCGCGTTTGTCAGCTGCTTTGTATGTACGTGGGCTTGTTATTTTGATGCCTCAAAAGTGGTGTTATTTGATATGGCCAGTGAAGATGTTAAAAAATGTGTACTTGAGACTAATAATTAGCCTAATGGATGTCACAGCTGACTGCCTCCTGTATGGTTACAGGTTAAAAGGCTAAAGTCAAGAGGATCAACTTCATTGCATCAGGTTTTTCTACCACATGGCTTGGTCTCTCTCCGCCTGCCAGGAGCGCAGCGCAAACTTAGTAGCTTCAGCGATAACCAGCGATCTCCATAAAAATTGCACTTGTGAACTGAAAGGCGCAGCTGTGGAATGAACCATGACCTTCAAAGTGTGAGCCAAGCGGTTGACCACTTCACCACAGACACCCTAAAAATATGGAATCCTTCATGAACATGCATGCAATCCTTGCTGGGGCCATGCTAATCTTCTCTGTATCGTTCAAGTTTTGTATATGAACAGCGTGAACAGTACAGATGTATGAATGGTAGATGAGAACAGCCATATAAAAAGTATGATTAACAATTTCAGGAAGTGCCAATTTTATTTTAATACTGTTCACATGTTGCCACAGAGGCTACAACAGAAACAGTCACTATACAAGTTCAAGTAAAACTCACATTCCCCACCCAGGTCTGCTAGCATATTCAAGTTACCTCCCCTTACTCACATTCCCTGTCCAAGTCTGCTAGCATCTTCAGTTATCTCCCCTCACTCACATTACCCCCCCCCCCCCCCCCCCCCCCCCCCCCCACCCCCCCCCCCCCCCCCTTTCCATATCTAAAGGGACCCCGCCTGCCCTAAAAAAAGCCAAAAAGTGGCACCATCCATTTTCCCATGCAATAAAAGTTATCCTGGACTTTCTGCTTCGCCTAAATATCAAATCTGGTGACGTTTCTATCAGTATCCCATCCTAAACATTCACCTATCAGATCTGGTGACGGCTCTATCCTGTACATTCACAGCACCAGACGAGCTAATCAGGCATTCTAGAATGACAACAATGGTCAACTGCTGATCACATTTGTGGGCATACCCATCCGTGAAAAAACTGGAGGACATCATCATCATGCATGAGTGTTTTTTTTAATTTTACAGAACACCACTCTCATCCCAGCATGCTGTAAATTCACCTGGTTCTGCCAACTTTCCTATCTTGTGAACTTTCACACATGGCTTGTGGGGGGCGGGGGGAGTAGTAAGATGACTGATTAGGCATGCCTACTTCAAAGTTGGAGCGCATCTGCCTGAGAAGCAAGGAACCAACAGTCTGCATAAAAATAAGCCAGATCTGTAAAATGGACACACGTACAAAACTCACACCCAGAAGTAAACAACAAAAATCGGAACATTCTGCCAGAGTTTACAGCCAGTGAACGCAAAGAACTTTCATGCTCAGGATACCATATCTGTGACATTCTACACCCTGCTGGTCTACCCCTGCCTCACCTTTTGGGAACCATTCCCCCCACAGTATTCAGATCTGTCAAGTTTTAACATTAATGTATGAAAGGTCACCAAGTGTCCAATCCACACTCAAAGAGTCTGTTCTTGCTGGAAATTAGGAGATTTCCGGACAAGCCTGTCTCGTCACACATTATCGGCACTGACAGACAATCCAGCAGAAGATAAAAATAGCAAAGACACAACCTAGTTTAGCCGACTGTCCAGGCTGGAAGTTTGACCAAGCTATCAGCAGCCAGAACTGGAGAGGACAAGTATTCAGACCTCTCTAGTTTTAGGGGACTAGATAAAGGCCAGCAGTGGCCTAGCCAATGAATACCTCTAACTATCTACCATTACATGACAGCACAAAAGTATATCATTTACAACAGCCATTAACTGTTCTTCTTTTTTACAGACTATGAAACTAGAATGGTTAAACCTTATTCCAGGACACAGTAGATATTTAACTCTGTGGGTCCACTAAATTACCCTCACTTATTTCTTCCTCTTTTTCTGGCTCTTCAGTCTTCCGAAATTCTCCTGCCTGGTCAAACCCATCCAGTTTTGCAGATCCCTCCACATTTGTTGCCTCTGTATCCACTATGTTCTGGCTTTCAACAGTGGCATCGAACCCTTGACTGTCACTAGATGATGCCTCCTGGGACGGTGGCGATGCCACACATTCTGGACCCTCCGAGCCAGGCTCATGTACCTCAGGATGTACTCCTAGCTCTGAATCCACAAGTCCACCATGGACATCAGTGTCCTGGACACACAGAAGATCTGCTGGATTTAGCTCAGAGGTCATGTTTGATTCAGTTGTGGATACGGGGTCAGAGTCTAGTGACATATCAACATCACCCGATGTACTGGATGAAGCTGGAAAAGCTGATGGGACAGTAACATCACCCGATGTACTGGATGAAGCTGGAAAAGCTGATGGGACAATAACATCACCGGATGTACTGGATGAAACTGGAAAATCTGATGAGGCCACAACATCACCTAATGTGTTGGTGGAAACTGGAAAATCTGATGAGGCCACCACATCACCTAATATGTTGGTGGAAACTGGAAAATCTGACGAGGCCACAACATCACCTAAGGTGTTGGAGGAAACTGGAAAATCTGACGAGGTTTTGGGTGAGTCATGCACATGTGACATTTCATGAGATAACTTGCGACGCTTAGCTTGGGGTTCTTGAGAATCTGAGGGAGAGTCTGGCGATGAGGGATTCATACGTGTGTTTCTGCTGGAATTAGAATGAAGTGCAGAGGAAAGAGCTGTACACAGGATGTGTCCATAGGCAGCTGTAAACTACTGCCATCTACATCTGAACTAGACTTTTCACTTGATTCACTCTCAAGTGAATTACTTCTATCAGGTGAATTGGTGTCATCCACATGGAAACTGGACTTCTTACTCGATTCACTCTTAAGTGAACTGCTTTCATCCACACGCAAACTAGACTTTGCAATCAATTCATTCTCAAGTGAACTGCTGTCATCCCCATGTGAACTAGACTTCTCACTTGATTCACTCTCAAGTGAATTACTTCTGTCTACGCATGAACTAGACTTCTCACTCGATTCACTACTTGAGTTGACTCCACTAGAGGACAAGATAGAATATGTCCCTCCAACACCAACTGCCTGTTGTGGTGACATCTTAGATGCAGATCTGTTACACTCGTCCGAGGAATCAACATTTGTGACTCCGGCAGACTGATCATCAACACCGGCAGCAACAGATGATGTCACATGTACTTTGTCTTCTCCCTCAGCAAGGACAGAAACCCAGGGACTTGTGTGAGATGTGTCAGTGTCGGCTGCTGGTACACCGGGACTGTTGTCACCTGATGGACAAATGTTTTAACACAAAAATATTAAATAGAACACATGCAGGCCTTATGAATCAAATGATATTTTGGAAGCCAAGTTGGTGTCAAATGTTTCCATAAGCCTCGGTGATCGAGGTCAGAGTCATAGTATTAGCCACCCCATATATACTGTGTTTTAGGCCTGGGGGAATGTATTTTTTTATTTCCCTTATAAATGTATATATAGTAAGTAAGTAAAGTAAAGATTCTTTTTCACGCCTTAGGCGCATCAGGCATATGGGAAGAGTCCCATATTTTTACAGACTAATCGGCACTGGGTGGGTAATGTGGTCAGCATTACGCTGGCTGTCTTTACTTCCCCAGGACAGCCATCCTGGTACCCATTTTAGGCTGGGTCGACCTGCGACGCCCCATACCATGATAAGAATCCATGGAGCAAGCAGTGGGTTTCGATCGTGGTACTTGAGAATTACGAATCGGACTCGCAACGCCTTATATATTTATAAGGGGTAATTAATCAATTCCAACATTTTATACTTGTAATGGATATTTTTTCTGCAAAACAATGTAGATAAATTGTTTTAAAATTATTTATGACCTGTGTACACCATTTTTTTTAAAGGTCTTTTCTTTAAATTATTCCAGGAATTCCCAAAGAGCCATGACCCCTTTTAAGTAAGCATTACTGGAATGACAGGGTTAAAGAGATCTCATTTGCACACAGACACTAGCAACAGGTCAAGTGATGAAAATGACCACTCACTTGTGTCATTTGCTGACAGCTCCTCTGATGAGGAGGATGAAGATGACGACGTATTGCTATCCTCTCTGCCCATGCCGTCTTCTGACCCAGTCTCGCGACAGTCGGCTACGGAGCTCTCACTTGTATCCATGGTAACCTGGGTCAACAGTAACGTTTAAGATAAATCATAACAAAATACAGTAAAACCTCATTAGTCCGCACAAGCTCAAGACGAACACTCGTTCACATGAACAAATTTTAGTACCAGCAGGGCTGTATTATTCATTAATACATCTATCAATCCCCACATGCTCAAGATGAACACTTGGTTAACATGAAATTTTAGGAAGTCCCAGTATGGATGTATTATTCATTAATGCATCTTTCTATGGGTCCCCACATGCTCAAGATGTACATTCAGTTAACATGAAATTTTAGGAAGTCCCAGTATGGATGTATTATTCATTAATGCATCTTTCTATGGGTCCCCACATGCTCAAGATGTACATTCAGTTAACATGAAATTTTAGGAAGTCCCAGAATGGATGTATTATTCATTAATGCATCGTTCTATGGGTCCCCACATGCTCAAGATGTACATTCAGTTAACATGAAATTTTGGGAAGTCCCAGTAGGAATGTATTATTCATTAATGCATCTTTTTATGGGTCCCCACAGGCTCAAGATGTACATTCAGTTAACATGAAATTTTGGGAAGTCCCAGTAGGAATGTATTATTCATTAATGCATCATTCTTTCAGTCCCCACAGGCTTAAGATGTACATTCAGTTAACATGGAATTCTGGGTAGTCCCAGCAGGGATGTTTCATTCCTTAATGCATCATTCTATCAGTCCCGACAGGCTCAAGATGTACACTCAGTTAACATGAACACAATTTTAATACCAGCAGGGAAATATTATTTCATAATACATCTATCAGTCACCAGTTAGCAGACTTTTTTGTTGTTGCATGAACTTAGCCACTAGGAATTCATGTTAACGAGGTTTTACCATACAATCTATTATTCCCCAGTTAGCAACAACAACAACAAAAGTCAAAATAAATTCTTGATTTTACACAAAAAGAAGAAAAGATGGTATGTACAATATATACACAATACCGACGTAATAAAATTCATCAGAATGAGGACAATAGGTTCAGCAACAAGGGGAACAGACAATATAGAGATATATTTTCATCAGAATGGTCCGTTCTATAAATGCCTGTGTTATCATAATAATTAGAGATAAGTGTAAGGATACATACCACAGTTTCCTCAACCACCTCTTCCGCCTGAGTTGCCTGTGGCGGTTCGCCGTACAGGGAGGTGACCACACCAGATACCACGCTGGTTGTAACCGCTGAGTCATGCGATGAAGGCTGAGGAGGGAAACAACCTGATTCTAGTCAACAGATTATCCTTGGTGTATACTGAATTAATCAAGTAAATATGTACTCTGATCTCCTTCTCAGTGTATCCCTCAGCACGTAAAGGTGCATTTTAAAAGTCACGCCTGGCACCTGAACAAATACCTTAAAAACTTCGGTATGGATTAGCACATATTTTTGCAATAGCCTTAGATTTCCCAAGTATTTGAGATTTTATAATTTACAACAGCACAGGTGCTGCTGTTTTCCTAAAGCCGTAAATAGTTCTTTGTTTCACTAATAATTTGTGTACACCCCCCCCCCCCCCCCCCTGAATAATTTTTTTTTTTCAAAAATAGAACATACTTAATTGACACACCCACATGGAGATGGTGTGGAAATAAATTCACATGTGCAGCGATTATTTTGATAGCTTATCTCGCATACAATGAAAATTATTTTTATCTAACTCTTTGGGAGGCTAATGGTGGAGATGACCACCTGAGAGTGAAACATCTATGCAAGAAAAGTTCCCGTCACTCGATAACTGTAAGCATGCTGATTGCTGTGAATCAGTTTCCGTTTTTCCATATGCTATAAATAAGGCCAAAACTACATGTTTTATAAGACACAATTATTAAGAGTTACTGAGTCACAGATTTTTAAAGCTGGGCAAGACTTCTGGAGCGGTTTATAATTCTTCTTTGGCAGTTGTTTAGCTGCACTTCTTTTGACGTCCTGTTGATGCAGTCTTGCCAAGGCTGCTGATTAGGTCATCACTTGATTCATTGAATCAACTTGTTTCTCTGAGGGCATTCAATATATCAGTCTGATCCATGGTTTTCTTCTTACACCTGCAAGCCGTGCTAGAAAAAAAAAAAATAACTAATTCATGTCAGCTATACGTCCTCAGATCAGATATTCGTTTGATGACACATAGCAGAGCAAAATCTGTGAATACAGAAGGTTTAGGTTTCGACGATTAATCAACATCATGGCACAATGGTAGGAACCCATTAAGCGCTTCGTATTATTTCTGACTCAAGTCTTTTCTAAGAATCTCAGTGCAGGGCACGAGCTCCGTAGCACCGGCGAGGATCCTGAATACTTTGGGTAGATTTTCAACTCCAAATTTTGCCGTCAGGCTACTCTCTTTTGATTTCCAACTGCCAAGGGATTTTTCATGTACGCAATAATACACACAGGCGTTCGATCTTACTACCCAGAGACCAGGGGAAATTACTCAAAGTGCAGGTGAAAAAATCCCAGCCTTCAAGGGGGTTTGAACCCAGGTCCTCAGCACTCGAGGCGGACACCATGCCTTGAGACTATCCATAATGTTAAATGGCCCTAACTGCAAACCCCCTCCCCCCACCTACATCCAATAACTGCATGCACCCTAGGTCGCTTTGTATGACTGCATGCACCCTAGGTCGCATCGTATGACTGTATGCAGGGTATATAATAGGCTGCATGCAGTCGTGGGATGTAGGCTGCACTCTCTTGGGGGAAATAGGCTGAGGGGTTTGGGTTAGGGCCAAGTCTACATGTTTTGGGACCGTTAAAAGCGCTTACATTGTGGAATACAGAACACGCAATATCGCTGACCAGTGACAACAATGGGTAAAATACTACTTGTTCGTGGCCGCTGATTAAGCGTGACATCCCTGCAACATAAGAATGCACCTGCGACACAATGAGGCATAAATGAAAAGGAAAGTCACTCTCTGAGCTAGAAAACGTTTTCAGCACCAAATGAACAGAAGGTAAATTTCTTCTCAGACAAATACCACAGGTGACCTTAATAAACGTCTATAAAAACACCTAAAAGAGCAGCAAAAATTCACCTGTGATTGTTTCTGATCTGCTACTGCTGTAGGTGCAACACTGTGTGGAGAGGTCACAGACGGGGCAGACGTGACCCATCCAGGGACAGGTGGCAGGTTTGAAGTGATACTGGAGTCCCGAGGGAAGAAAGGTGACCCCACTGTATCCAAGCCATTGACTAAGTGCTTGTTGCCAACCTCAGAGACAACATTTCTACAAGATGACACAACAAAGGGCATCAAGGCAGGAACATGAGAATAAACAACACATTTCTATATCCCATATAGACTTTTATTTCACACCTGCTTGTTCTACTGGGTTGGGGTATTCCTAAAATCTATTAACGAAAACATTTCCACCCCTTACCCCAACCAGTCTCAGGGGACTCAGCAAAATAACCATGGAAATGATGTGCAAAACAATAACCACATAAATGGTACCAGGCTGGGAACAAGTCTCTACAACCAACGCTATTGAGCAGATGGATGCCCTTATAATAAAGCCTAGCTAATCTAAAGACTAGTGTATCAGACTTCAAATGGTAAAAACTTTCCAAGGTGTTCCCCAGGATTCATAATAAAAAATTATGTATTCCACAGTTGTGGGTTTAAGGTTTACAAAAGACATGGCTTGTGAAGACACTTTTTATGGGGCGCCTTCTTGATCATGCATTTAAGTATACTTGTTCCCCCAGCGAATGTCTGTTGTCATTTGAAGGTGACATGTTCGTTTCCAGGCTTTTGATGTTGTGTTGTCTAGTGTGTTGTTGTATCCTTCTAATGCTATTCCCAACAGATGTTTATGTCTTCATTATATGTGTGTGTACACAGGTTAGTTGCGTATCCTTTACAGGATGTTGCAGAACCAACCACAACAGCCCCTGGCTGTTGTGTGGTTTTTGTATGCAAATTTACGTCCAGTAGTTTGCCATTGCTTTCTGGACAGTGTGTGTACACAGATGTACACTATAAAGGGTTCATTACACATCAGTGTCTGTCTAAGGTTTTGGGGATATCCATAGCCAGCTGTCTGAGATACTGACAAATTTCATGAGTTACTTATTTGCTGGCAAAAACTAAATTATAATGAACCTTCCACTGGTCAATGTCAGAATTCAACTGTGTGTCTCAACAGTTCCTAGTCTAAGACTATTATTATCAATTTATTATCCTTCAAGCCCCAGGTGTGCATAAACTATCAACATGTTAAACTACCATAACCCTGATCAACATTATCTACCTCAACCTTGGTCAACCTGTTACTCACAAAGCTATTTAATATTCAGCAACACAGCACATACCTTCCAAATGGATCCACAGTGCTGACCACTAGCACATTCTGCAATTATAAATACAAAATACACATAAACAAACATGAATGTCTTTGTAATAAGAAACATACAAGTATTACATCTTTATCAAGTGGCAAGTAGTAAATCCTTATCAACTGACAAGTATTACATCTTTATCAAGTGACAAGTAGTAAATCCTTATCAACTGACAAGTATTATATCCTTATCAACTGACAAGTATTATATCCTTATCAACTGACAAGTATTATATCCTTATCAACTGACAAGTATTATATCCTTATTAATTGACAAGTATTATATCCTTATTAATTGACAAGTATTACATCCTTATCAACTGACAAGTATTATATCCTTATCAACTGACAAGTATTATATCCTTATTAATTGACAAGTATTACATCCTTATCAACTGACAAGTATTACATCCTTATCAAGTGACAAGTATTACATCCTTATCAACTGACAAGTATTATATCCTTATCAATTTACAATGATTACATTCTAAATACAATGGTACAGATACATGTCCAGTATGATTAAATGTGCTATTCTATTCAAACCCTATTGCATTCATCCGTATTTTTAATTTCGCCAGTTTACAACGGAGATGCAATTCGGCATCTTTGGTCAATATGTCTGTCTGATTTATTCAAGGATCTGAACCCTACTGCCGTGGAGACACACAAAAAAGAAGGCTATGAAGCAGGAATTTCAAAACATATTTTTTTTCAACACACATCTCACAAAATGTTATTTTTCATTTGCAGTGGTGTCGATTCTTCACCACAACAATATGCACACAGAGTTGTGATATACATTCAAACACAACTGAATATTCCTACATCAAGCTATTATCATCATAAAGCACTTCTGTTGTTGAGTGCCTTTAATGTTGTCAATCCATTTTTCCGCGGCTATATAGCACACAATACAACTTAATGAATTACCCAATGTTGGGAAGAAAATCTGCAGCATTTGATGGATGCAGTAATAGTTCACAATGAGTAACTAGGCTTGGAATTCAACTGTAAGAAAACAGAAATATGGTCCCCACCAAAAAGAAATAAATATCAAAGTGTGAAATAGGCGCAAATGGTAAAATTCTTAAGCAATCAAAAGATAAAACATTGCCTGTAGCAAAATGCAAAAGATTCCCACCAACAAGAAAATGTCAAGTGCAATGAGAACAAGACTGTCAGTGCTTATGTAGAACCTGTGTTGTTACATGTATGTGAATCATGGACAATAAGTAAACGAGCTGTAAAACATTTACTGGTGGCACAGATGTGGTTACTGAGAACAATTCAAAGAATATCATGGATGGATAGACCAATAAATGAAGCAGTCCTCACCGAGACAGTTGAAAGCCGTAAATTTACAATAATTACATGTAGGCAGTCAATGTTTCTTGGGCATGTTATGAGAAGGGATGGACTCGAGAATTTGGTAACAACCGGCAAGATTTCTAGGCAGATAGTAAAAGGAAGGCAGAGATAAAATAGCTGGATGGCCTGACCAGATCGATGGGGTGTGACACAAACACTGAAATGATCTGTGATTCTGGTGATCTCGCCAGATAGCGAAAAATGGCAGCCTACGCTTAGCGGCACGGCACATGATGATGATAAATCACCCACAAACAGTAACCAATTAAGTATTAAGTGCTGCAGTGTTAAATGTTAAGTATTCAAGTACAGTACTGGTCATGTGATCATTCATACAACCTTTTCTAGTCCTCGGAGGAACTTGTCACTGCGTTTGTAGTGTCTCTTGGGGTCCATGAGCAGCTCACACAATCGCTGAATGGTAAACGGAGTACTGTGGATAACATTTACCATTAATTAACCCACTGGAATTTCTTTGTCAGTGGTTTTATTTTTTATAGGCATTAACTTTTTTTTTAAAAAGAGGGCTAAATCAGTGGATTGAATCTGACGTTGGGAAGGCTAAACCCAGTCAACAAATGCCATCAGAAGTCACACGTTTTGGGCGAAATGCACAAATATCGCAGCCTTACAACACAATTACACCTTCAGATGAACGCAAAAGAAGAATTGGACGAATATAAACAAACTCAAGGTGTCATGTCTGACATAAAGGAAGCATGAGGCATCTACCAGTGTTGATGCCCGTATTAGAAGTGCCCTCTAGAAGGACCTGGTATCTACTACACAGAGGGTGCGCACATTTCAAAACATATATATGAATCATTAAAGAGAGAGAGAGAGAGAGAGAGAGAGAGAGAGAGAGAGAGAGAGAGAGAGAGAGAGAGAGAGAGAGAGAGAGAGGGCAGAACAATATGGAAGGGACTTGACCTCTTCATGACACACAACAGTGGGCAAAACCATCCATTAGATACAACAACTTCGGGGCAGAACCTGCTGCATTGGTATACAAAAGAATTTAGGCCAAGAGATTTAAAAGATATCCGGCATCTATACATGTGTCATGAACAACATCAGAATATAAATGGCAAGACACAGCATTGAAATGTGCTGTCATTAACAACCTAATATATAATTGGGAACACCTGGCCATGAATATGCCAGCGAAAATATACATAACTGACAGGACCTGACATCTATAAATGTGTAAGTGATAATAACATTAAACAAATGGCAGGATCTGATATCTATAAATATGTCAGTAATAACATTGAACAACTGACAAGACCTGACATCTACAAATGTGTAAGTGGTAATAACATTAAACAACTGACGAGATCTATGATCAAAATTCATTAAAAAAAACACTTCACAGCAAGAAATTAATGATTCAACAAGCTGACGAGTTGTGCAGTTAATTTTGTCTTCAAACATATAACATGTCCACACAGGTACACATAGCTTATCAATTACATTTATGGAATGCTTTCACAATCGAGCTGTGCAGTTATGCTTGTCTTCAAACATATAACATGTCCACACAGGTACACATAGCTTACCCATTAAATTTATGGAATGCTTCCACTATGCGAGCATGCATCACATCAAAGGGAACATTTTCCACATTTGGTCTCTCAGGGATAACTTCGGAGCTCAACCCCTTTTGTAGCTCTCCAATCACCTGTTCCATTTTGGCAAAAAGCAAGGGCTTCAAGAGTGGCCAATGATATCTTTAAAGAAACAATGTCACCAATAATCAGCACATAAAAAGCGATTATTTAAATGCAATAATAATTATGGATTTAAACTCTAGGAAATTTCAACAATTAATAGTCTGTTAGAAGAAGAGATGAAGAAGAAACTTACAACTAGCAGTTTGTCTCTACTTTATTACAAATTTTAGCCAGTAAATCAGAAATCGTGTTAACTAAGACACAGAAAAGATAGTAAGATGTTGGCACACTTCCAAAACCAGTCCCAAATTATTCACTGCGAAAAATATCCCTCTGAGAGCCTTAAGAGGTTATGTAGTAAAAACATTTAGGCCATCATTATCAGTTTCCACTTCTGCTGTTACTGCTAGATGGATAGCAATGTTTAGACATTAAGCTAAGCGCCGTGGGGAGGAATAGTTTTCGATCTATTGAAGCGTCGAGAGTTTGGTTCAAATGAAATTATATAATAACATGAAGCATAGTTGGTAGTGTATAAATTTCATATTTTCAAATATATGACCTCTTGAGGCACTGAATAGGATTTTTAAGATGGAATAATTTGGGACAGGTATTCAGAAGAGTGCCAAGATGTTTATTGTTGGAACTAAAAAAAAAACATGTTAACATTCATACCCTGTGTGCGTTCCAGGGCCCTATTTTAGGAGAGGAACAAAATAAACACTGGATGCCTGCCCCACTCCCCCTTTCCTACAATAATGAATAAGCAAGTCAAAAAAGTCGACAAATATGGGTTTTGCTTCGAAGTCAGAGGTGTGTCTGCCTGAGAGGTAAGAAACCAACATTCTGCGTACAAATAAGCCAGATCTGTGAAAAATGTGGCATGCCCACAGAACTCAAGTTCTGGAACAAAACTAAAGTCCAGATGTAGACGAATAACCACAACTCTCAGCCAGAGTTTACATCTGGGGAAAGTGAACAAGAGTACATTTCCCATCTTTGAATCTTTCCTGGCTATCCTCCAAAAAAACGGGCACAAAAGATGGTGGCTGCAAAAACACCTTAACAGTGCCCCAGTCACGTGTCAATTGCGCACTTCCAGCGACTTAATTTGCGGTTTTCCAGCGACCACCGCCGAGAGTATCCCCCGCGCGGCGTGGATTGGGATTAAATTAGATGGCTGTGACTCACGAGCAGCAGCTTCCGTATCTCCTGCAGCGTTGATCGTGAGTCCTAGCCATCTAGTTTAGCCCTAATCCACATCGCATGAGCGGTGTGTCGGATACTCTCAGTGGTATCGGTAGTCGCCGGAAAACCGCAAATTAGGTTGCCGAAAGTGTGCAATTTACACGTGACTGAGGCCTTGTTTTTGGTTGCCATTGGCCGCCATCTTTTGTGCCCGTTATTCGGAGGATAGCCTCTTTCCTCATCCAATGCACACACACAAAAAAAAGCTTTACCAACTCATGCCATGCCAAACCTCTTTTGGATGTGAAGTGATGCTCTCACAACTGACGGGATTTAGCAGCTACAGTCTTCAACTGAAAGCGCTAAAAATACTGATAACTAAGAACAAACAACTTAGTCAAAAAAGAAGTGGTACTCAACACTTACACTACACTACTAACTGGCTCCACTCCACTGTCTCTGTCATTCTCTCAAGAATTAATTAATTCGGCTCTCCTCCGAACTTCTACCCCTGCAGTATTGCGACCTGAAATATCCGTTCGGGGCGCAGTCCAATTAAAAATATGCCGGTTCCGTATAACGAAACAATTGCTCTAACAGCGATATGTTACTTGCGGACCAGTTTCTTATTGTTTCTGATTATCTAACAATTCTAAGAGATGCAGGCAACACTGCAGACGACGATAATAGCAACTGTTGACACTTTCCATTGTCGGACTTTCTGCCGACGAACAAATCGCGGCAAATCTAGGATCGGCTCAGAAAAACGAAACAAATGCTCTAACAGGGTCTCAGCGATGTTACTTGCGGACCTGTGTCTGTGACCATGCCTCACCTCTGACCGTATCCCCCGCACCGCTACGTGCGGCGCGGATAGGGGTTAAACTAGATGACTGGGACTCACGAGTGGCAGCTACCGCATCTCCTGCAACTTCCTCCAATTACTTTGCTCGTGAGTCCCAGGCACCTAGTTTAGCCCCCCCCCCCTTTCCCTACCTGCGCCGCGCATAGCCGCGCGGGGATACACTCGCGGTGAGTTTAATCGAGTTTTGCGCATGCCGAAAAGTCTGACATCTACCGCAATTAGGTCCTCCCCTGTGTGGGTTCCGGGGCCCTATTGTGGGGAAAACAAGAATAGACCCACTGCCTCCCCAAAAGCATGTCGTAAGAGTCGACTAACTGGGGAGCTTCCTTTGAAGTCGGAGTGCATCTGCCTGAGAGGCAAGGAACCAGCAGTCTGCATTCAATTGAATCAGATCTGTAAAACTGATGCACATGCAACACTCAGGTTCTGGAGCATGACTGCAGTTCAGTAGTGGACGAACAACCAGAACTTTACGCCAGAGTGTACAGCTGGTGAACACAAAGAAGAAGAAAATTAGGTCCTCAATCGGAGGAACAGTATTGCTAATCTGCGAGGGAGCGCGTTGTATACCCGCCATATCGCTGTCATCGTCTGTAATGTCTGGAAATTGTCAACGGTCGCTTTTATCGTCTGCTAGTATCGTCTGCAGAAAACGCTTGACATTGTCACCGGTCGCTGTTATCGTCTGCTACTATCACAGAAGATGGTAGAATTGACAGAGAAATAGAAACCAGATGTCAGAAAGCAAGTGCACTTATATACCAATTGTCACCATTATTAAGACATACAAGCATAACCATAGGTGCAAAGAGACAGATTATTATTAGCATATTTATTCCAACATTAAGCTACCAGTGCCAAACATAGACACTATCTAAAGCCCATATACGCAAAATTACCACCTGCGAGATGGGGTGCCTGAGAAAAGCAGCCAACCTAACCATGCGAGATTGAGTGAATAATGAAACTATCAGGCAAATTGTGGGAATGACACCTTGTACTAGATTCATCAAGAAACAGCAGATCAAGTGGTTTGGCCATCTCGTTAGAAGCAGCAATATTAAATACCATCACAAGCACTACATCTCAGAAGATCAACTACAAGAGCAAGAAAACGGCCGCGGAAAACATGGATCGACAACAATAAAGACACTCTACGCCTCCACGGCATGACAATAGCCAGTGGCCCCCAACGTGCACTGGATCGCAAATTATTCCTCCCCCCGACGCCTAACGGCAGAAGTGGTTTATGATGATGATGACAATAGTGTGCAATGTTGCGTCTCGTGACATTGTAAGGTACTCCTAGTTTTGCCACAATTTGTTTCTCGGCGGGAACTCCGACAAGTCCGTATTTTTTATTGGACTGCGCACCGAACGGATATTTCAGGCCGCAATACTGCGGGGGTAGAAGTTTTGAGGAGAGCCATTAATTTAATTCCTAATCAGTTTCGTCAAAGAAACAGCTAAAACAGTAGATCATCTACTAGATGTAACATAACAAAATTACAATCTAGTGCCTCACTATATGCGATCACTACAGTACATAATTAAATGCATTATGCCTGAATTAAATGAATGAAAGAATTAATCAACGTAAACAATGCAACTTACAGAGTCTCGCCATTGGCGGCTATCCCGTTCAAGTACTGCTCCAAGACAGCCGGGATTTCAGGGCAAGGATTTCTTGAGTACGCTAAAAGATAAAGAAAACCAAACGTAACGCGAACGCAGTTTAACACATACGGGAAACATAAACTACATATTTAGCACTAGTGAACACAAGCAGTACCTGTCAGAGCGTCTAGAAAGCCGTTTTTATCCATCTTGTCGTTTCAAACATCAACCCCAACTTCTCCAGACGCAAACCGCGGAAGTGACGTCACAGTGAATCCATATTTGTACCGTGTAATTTTTTTTTCTCCCCGCCGAAACGAAATTAGACAGCGCTCTTTGATGGGAAACCATGCCGGACCTGCAGCTGACATGCGAGTTCATAGAGGCAACCCACCTGATGGTCTGATCTGAGCATACGAAACCGAACGCAAATAAGAAGACGATGACCCAAGCATTACAACTTATTTTTTAGCTGATTGATTAGTTGGCACCTTTCCGTCTTTCCAGACGATAGTATTATATTGCGCTATTAAGAGGCATGTAACTCACAAATCCCCTCCATCGCTCAAAGCTTGGACAATATTGTAAAGACCAAATGTTGCCCAAGCATCATTATCCCTCCATCATCATCATCATCATCAGGTGCCTGGCGTGGGCGATCATGCCTCTCCATAATCCACGATCTCCTGCAGCACATATCAGTTCGTGTGCCGACACACCTCCATGCCAAGACTGTCAAGAATCTTCTCTCGTTATCTTCCTCCTTCCACAGATCTTTCCAGTAGTCATAACATGTTCTATTTCCCCTCTTCTCATAACATAGCCGAAAAATGATGACTGTCTCCTTCTGATGTCTGTGATAAGTTGACTTCGAGCTTCCGCCTCTTTCAAAACCTCTTGGTTGCTCTTTTTGGATGTCCAAGGTATTCTAAGCATTCTTCTGTAAAACCACATCTCTGAGGCCTCTAAAAATTGTTTGGCCTGCCTACCGATTGTCCAGGATTCACAGCCATATGTTAAAACTGGATGTATGTAGCAATCAAGAATTCTTTTTCTAACTCTCAATGACAAGGATATATTGCACAAGATGTTTTTCATTTTATAAAATGCAGTTTTTGCCTGTCCAATTCTGTTTCTTATTTCAGTTATGCATCTTCCATCTGATGTTATCCATGTGCCCAGATACTTAAATTTCTGTACTTGTCCTAAAATAACACCATTGACTTTTATTACACATTTAGGAATAATTTGTTTCTTTGATACCACCATTACTTTCTGTCTTCCCCCATTTTCAAACTGAGGGCCCATTCTTCCACTTTCTAACACCCACAATGTCTAGCTATGTCTATCATTTCCTGTAATTCTTTCTGACTTGTTGCTAAAGACTGTGTCATCAGCATAACGTAAATTGTTTATAGTGTGCCCACCAACCACAATTCCGGGCATATCAATTAAAGATCTCATTATATATTCACTGTATATTGAAAACAAATCAGGTGAAAGTACACATCCTTGTCGTACGCCCCTCTTTCTGCTTTGAAATGTACCTAAACAGTTGTTTATTCTTATAGCTGCTGTTTGCTGCCAATACATATTCTTTATTATTCGTAGATCTTTCCCATCAATTTTTAATTTTTCTAACAGTTTGATTACTTCTTCATGCTTCACACAGTCAAATGCTTTTGTATAATCTATGAAGCATAAGTACAAATCAGTCTTTACTTCTATAGTTCTTTCTGACAATGTCCTTAGGATGTATATGGCATTGTTTGTACCTTTTCCTTCTACAAATCCACATTGTTCATTGTTGATTTCTGGTTTAATTTTGTTTCTTATTCTTCTCATAATTATTCTCAGTAAAATCTTAGTCATGTGACTCATAAGACTTATTGTGCGATGGTCTTCACATTTTAAAGTGCCTGGTTTCTTTGGCAGAGCTATAAATATGGATCTTAAAAGGTCATTTGGAATATACCCATTATTATAAATATCATTTAAAACTTTAGTTATTATCTCAATTCCAAAATCTCCCAGTGCTTCGATTTCTTACAGTGAGATGTCTGGCCCGGGTGCTTTTCCTTTCTTCATATGATGTATTGCATCCTCAACTTCTTCAGTCATTATTGGTGGACCATCATTGTTGGTCTGCAGTTCTACGTCTGGTCTATTATCATCATACAATTACCTATATACTCTGTCCATCTGTTAATTATATTACTGTGTACCATTAACAAGTCACCATCTTTTGATTTCAAACATCCAATGCTGTTACGTGTCATCTTTCCTGTTAACATATTTATCTGTTGGTACATGGAATGTGAGTCTTTCCTGCGATTTTCCCCAATCTCTGTACACATTTGATTCAGCCAGGCTTCTTTAGCCACTTTGCATTTGTTCACTATTTCTTTTTGTATTCTAGAGTATTCTTCTTTATCATTCTTTTTCTTCCTCCTTTCATCCATCAACTGCTGAATTTCGGTTGACATCCATTTTTTTTTTTTTTTTTTTTTTTTGCACCTCTCACATTCTTTTCTCCTAGGTCATAGCCACCCGTTATTCCGTACACTTTTTCACTTCCTACTTTCGCGTTGAAATCTCCAAGTACCATTGTTAGTTCACAATTTTTGCATTGATCAACAGCCATGTCTATCGCTCCATAGACCTGCTGTTAATGCAGAGGTCAACGCTCTCATCAGTAAAAATTCAGACGAAGCAGATGCCCTAATCAACACAGATGGATCGGTTATAGGCCAAAGAAGAAGCGCATGGGCATTCTCAGCACGCTCAACGGGCAGAACAGCCAAAGAAACCAACGGCGCCTTCTCCATGACAACCAGCAGCATGACGATGGAGGTGATGGCAGTGACGCAAGCGTTCGCCTGGCACGAAACACAAAAACTACACCCGCGTATGTATACTTAGTGATTCAATGAGTATAATCCGGAAGGTTCAGGCAGGTTCGGTGCGAAGACAATGGCTTGAATCATTACAGAAGTCCACTGTGCGTGGAGTCACCTTTATTTTTGTTCCGGGAAACGCAGGCGTCGATGGAAATGAAAGAGCTGATAGGTTGGCTGGATCCGCTATCACTACTGACGGTCAGTCTATGGATCATCCTGATATTATTAATGCCCTCAGAGAAATGGGAAGGATGGAGAACTTTGGGGGCAGTGAATCAACATCACTCGCCAGAAGTGCAGACTTGAGAATTAAGATCGGCATAGCAAAAAACGAGACGCACACCAGACACACCAGAAGACTTGTTAATCAACATAGAACTGGTACTATTAGCCATCGGACGTTGAGGTTCATACTGAGGGGAGGATCTGAGCACCTATGGATATGTCCGGAGTGCAATGATGATAACCCAACTAACTAACTAACTAACTAACTAACTAACTAACTAACTAACTAACTAACTAACTAACTAACTAACTAACTAACTAACTAACTAACTAACTAACTAACTAACTAACTAACTAACTAACTAACTAACTAACTAACTAAGACATGTCTTGATTATTCAAAAGGAAAGGTAACACCAGTACGTTCGGAACAAGGCAGGCTGCAGAAGCTGCCGGATCAGGAGAGCAGTGCTTTATCTGTCCGCCTGTCAGAGCTTCCCTCCTAGACCAGCTGCCAGCTAAGGCGAAGGACCCGGTCTGCCCTGCCATAACATAAAGTTTTCAGGTTGCATTTCCTCTTCCTGGGATAAGACTAGTATCCTCCCCAGTGTGCCTTTTCTACCGAATCCGTTGTCCCAAAAAAAGCTTCGTGTACGCCGCCCAACATTCGGCGTAACAGAAGACAGATGGTACCGGCTAATGTAGCCCTGTCATATCTGACCAACACCTGACAATTCTTTTGTTAGCTACTGCCTACCCAAAAGCAGGTCGTAAGCATCGTCTGATTGGGAACTTCCTTTGAAGTTCGGAGTGCATCTGCCTGAAAGGCCAGGAACCAACAGTCTGCCTACAAATGAGTTAGGCCTGTAAAACGGATATACAGGCAATTCTCAGATTCTGGAACAAAACAAGAGTCCAGAAATGGACGAACGACCAGAGCCTATCCGCCGGAGTTTACAGACGTTAAATGCAAAAAAAAAAAAAAAATGGCAAATGTGTTTGCATTTAGCGTAGGCGCCGCAACCCAGAGATTGGGGTGTTAACCCCAAGTAAATGGGTTCAGCGGCCTTTTTACACACACACACACACACACACAAACACACACACAAACACACACACACACACACACACACACACACACGCACGCACGCACACACACACACACACACACAATCTTTAAAAGTATTTGTACATTTTATGTTATTTCAAAATATTTGCATATTCATTGGCCACTCGGGACAGTGTTATTACTATGATTATTAGTATTCTTTTAAACTAGGATTAAACTCCTCCTCGAGACCAAGAAAATGCGTAAGGTGCTGGAAAAGGGGTGAGGAAGGACAGACTATTTTAAATAGCCTAATAAATAAACTGATATAATGTGTCGTTCCTACAGCGAGGTGTCGTTACCGTAAGGCAACAAGTCTCTAGTTCAGCTTATAATCTCTGCGTTTAGTTCAGCTTATAATCTCTGTTTGCGTTCTCTAGTTCAGCTTATAATCTCTGTTTGCGTTCTCTAGTTCAGCTTATAATCTCTGTTTGCGTTCTCTAGTTCAGCTTATAATCTCTGTTTGCGTTCTCTAGTTCAGCTTATAATCTCTGTTTGCGTTCTCTAGTTCAGCTTATAATCTCTGTTTGCGTTCTCTAGTTCAGCTTATAATCTCTGTTTGCGTTCTCTAGTTCAGCTTATAATCTCTGTTTGCGTTCTCTAGTTCAGCTTATAATCTCTGTTTGCGTTCTCTAGTTCAGCTTATAATCTCTGTTTGCGTTCTCTAGTTCAGCTTATAATCTCTGTTTGCGTTCTCTGGTTCAGCTTATAATCTCTGTTTTCTGTAGTTCAGCTTATAATCTCTGTTTGCGTTCTCTAGTTCTATATGGGTCGACCAATACCCGTAATTTATCTTGGAAGGAAAGAATACCAACACTATAATTTACTAAATGTATCGGAAGAGGCACGCAGTTTAGCTGTTGCACCAGATCTTTATCTGTAATGGTCTTGTCTGGGGTTTCTCAAAAACGTATCTGCCAGTTAATGAACGGTATTTGGGCAGTGACTTCTGCTAGATGATAAATGGCGATGGGATAAAGTTATTTTTCCTTAACTTGCCCGTTTACGGTCTTTGATGGGAGAAGTGTCTACCGAGGACCATACACCATGCAGACTGGGAGACTAGAACATCTATATGGGTGCACTTTGATAACATAGTCCAATGGATGCAGTCTAGAAAAATGGACCAGTGGGTGTAGTTTAGTTACATGGTCCAATGGGCGGAGTCTGATAACATGGTCCATTGGGTGCAGTCTGATAACATGGTCCATTGGGTGCAGTCTGATAACATTGTCCAATGGGTGGAGTCTGATAACATGATCAAATGGATGCAGACTGATAACATGGTCCAATGGGTGCAGTCTGATAACCTGATCCAGTGGGTGCAGTCTGATAACATGGTCCAATGGGTGCAGTCTGATATCATGACCCAATGGGTGCAGTCTGATAACCTGATCCAGTGGGTGCAGTCTGATAACATGATCCAATGGGTGCAGTCTGATAACATGATCCAGTGGGTGCAGTCTGATAACATGATCCAATGGGTGCTGTTTGATAACATGGCCCAATCGGTGCAGTCTGATAACACGATCTAATCTGTGCAGTCTGATAACTTGATCAAATGGATGCAGTCTGATAACATGATACTGGCAGCAATCGGGTTCAAATCGTGGTAACAGCAAACGGCTATCTTCTGAATAACGGTCCCAAATTATCGAGGCCGAAAATATACCCTGACAGGGCCTTAGTCACGTATCGATTGCGAACTTTCACCACCGCCAAGAGTATCTCCCATGCCGCTACGCGCGGCATGGACTGGGGCTAAACTAGATGGTTGGAACTCACAAGCAAATGAAGGAAGATGCAGGAGATGCGGTAGCTGCTGCTCGTGAGTCCCAGCTATCTAGTTTAGCCCTAATCCACGCTGCGCCTAGTGGCGTGGGAGATAATCTCGGCGGTGGCGGTTTCTCGCCGGAAGTGCGCAATTTCAGTCGCCGGAAGTCCGAAATTGACACGTGACTGAGACCCTGTTAGGGTATATTTTCGGCACAATTTCTTGCTTATTGGTTAATTTAAAAAGTAATTGTTACTGATCCATATATTCATATAATTTTCAGAAACTAACAACAATGCCCTTCACACTTAGTAACCCGTTCTACGGGCTGGAAATGTAAATAAGCCATGTAGACATTAAAAATGTCTGAGTTCGATTCTCGGTTGATCTTAGCCCAGTTGAGAGCAGTTCTATGACAAGGTCATTTCGACATTTTTCCACAGTTGTAACCAACAATGGGTTCTCCTCACTTGGTTTACAATTAGCTGTTGATCTGTAACCTTGGAACAAGACAAAAACTCATTGTTGATCTGTAACCTGGGGTCGAGACAAAAATCATTGTTGATCTGTTGCCCGGCAACAAGAAAGAGGGAGAAAAACATTAATTGTTCAAACGTTTCGTGTTTGGGCCTATCACAAGTCAGTAGTTATAACAGGGTTACTGATACGATGATGAAGTGACCAATGATATCAACTGTACTCAACCGCTGGGTTTCAACTTGATAGGATTCTAAGTTACCTTTGGGGTCACCGTTTAAGTTTGAAATTTATTGTCAAATTAGTGCATTGATTAATTAGATAATAACAACTTGTTTGCTTTCTATAGCAGATTACAGTACAGTGTACCTATATGAATTTAGTTCGCACACTCTCACGTCTAAATTTTTCTCGGGCATCGCCGTGTAGGACTGAAACATAACTGGACATAGGAGTGAAATCAGTCATACAATTCATCAAAGAACAAAAAATGAGACGGTTCGGCCAGCTGACGAGAATGCCCTGGTACCAGCTGCCACAGAGAGACACGCTAAAGAAATACAATGAACACAGAGCAAGAGGAAGACCACCCAAGATATGCAGCGACATCATCAGGAGCAACGTAACGAAAATGAACACCAACTTGTACAATGCATTGAAAAAAAAAGCACACTAACGATCATTACATCTTCCCCCAACACCTTGCTGAGGGCAATGATGGAATTAAAGAAGAAAAAGTCCCTATATGAAACAATACTGAACTGAAATAGAAGAGCTAGTTTGAATGGACAAAATTTGACAAAGAAGTATGTTGATGTTCATAGGTCGTTCTTGTGTGACACTTATCAACAATATAGAACGCCATATTAGTACTATCTACATATCCTTTCTTGCCTAAGGCAAAGGCTAAACAGCATGGATGTCCTGTATCCATCTTCATGAAGGTCAGCCTCTGCCCTGTTTTCCGGAAACTGCACCCTACACCGCGGTTCTTTCCAGACCACTATAGACAGACCTTGATATGTCCAAAATACCTCCGCTTTTGGGAGAGGCTGCTGTTTACGAGCCAGTTCTCCTTGATGTTCATGTCATGCAGTTCGTCGACGTTTTTCTTCTTTTTGGTCTACTGTATTTTCAGAATTTTTATATATCATTTCAGTTCAAAGGCTCAGGTTTTCTTCTTCAAAGACTTGGTGAAAGTTCATAGTTCACATTCATAAGTTGGACAGGGGAAAATGAATGATTTTAACGTCTTGTCTTTAATGTGCTTGCCATAGGTTCTTCATGTTTAGCCTCTGCATTGTTTTAACAAGTCTTTTTCGGACTTTTTGTGTGCAGTCGCCCAAGTTGTTCATTACTGGGCCTAAATTATCACTCTGTCCGATGTCGATTTATTTTATATGTGGTCGGTGTGGGTTATATGGACCTTTTTTTAGTGGTTTTTGTTTTTTGTTTTTTTTGTTTTGAGGACTAAGGATGCTGGAGTGAATTCCCTTCATGATATCGAAAGAATTGTACTCCCCGCGTGGGTTCCGGGGCCCGATTATAGGGAAAAACTAAGGATGCTGGAGTGAATTCCATCCATGATATCGAAAGAATTGTACTCCCCGAGTGGGTTCCAGGACCCGATTATAGGGAAAACAAGCATAGACCCACTGCCTCCCCAAAAAGCATGTCGTAAGAGTCGACAATTTGAGAGCTTTCTTCCAAGTCGGAGTGCATTTGCCTGAGAGTCAAGGAATCAACAGTCTGCACACAAATATGTCAGATCTGTCAAACGGATGCACACGCAACGCTCAGGTTCTGGGACAGGACTGCAGTCCAGAAGTAGGCAAACAATGTCACATATCACTCCTGTCGCGTGCCTAATGTAAGGATTTCTCCTTCAGATCTAACAGCACTCAGAGATAATTATGTTGAGTCGTTTGGCTCGTATTGGCCTAAGGGATTCCCCGTGGCCAATATACGCTCACTTATCTCTGGAGTAGGGCAACTCAAGTATTGGCACTACAAAATATGTCAGTATATGAATACAATATTTCTAGGCACACTTGGCTGGACACCCCCACTACTTACTAAAGAAAGCCCCCAGGTTATGATAGTTCAATATCATAACCATGTTAACACATATAGTTAAGATTCATACACACACCAATGCTACACATTTAAAAAGGTGAAATAGAGAAACCTTAAGTCAGCCATGAAAAATGAATGCATGTAATCATTACAACATGCACAAAATTGAAAATAGTGAAGTAGATGTCAAAACACAACAGCTGGATTCCAGAATACAATGACTATAATCAACCAAAGTTAAACAGTCAGAAAGTCCGGGAGGAAGCATATATTCATCCTTGGAATCCAGTGGAGCTGTGGGGAATATAGCATAATTGAGACATAAACTTCACTTATCCCAGTTCCACTGTTGATGCCTCACTCAGCTCCGGGTGAATCGACTGTCTTTGACCCTGGTACTTCTGCTCAACAGGATCAGGTAATGGAAGAGTACCTCACCATAGAGGACGCAGCAACTGGATAGGCACACAGCACCTTGATAGGCACACAGCAACTGGATAGGCACACAGCAACTGGATAGGCACACAGCAACTGGATAGGCACACAGCACCTGCTCCCACGAGTAACTCACAGTACTGTCCCTGAGTTACACACATGCTCCGGCACTGGATGGTGTTTGGGTTATATTGTACCCCATCTTGAGGAGGACAGTCTTCTCAATTGGTAGTTGGGTGATAATAAGTGGGTGATTGGTTAATTGATTGATTGATTGGTGGGTGTTGGTTGGACTGTGAATCTTCTGCCAGCTCCTCACAAAGGATTCATCCTGCCAAGAAATAACTCAGAATTAGTCATCACCAAGAGGGTAACATCTTGACAGGAAAGACAGAACAAGCATCAGTCATATCCCACATCTGCTTACTCCACCCTTGCTCCCCTGTTTCATTCCTCAGAATGCCTTTCCAGACCAAGAGACATAAGTCTCCTATATTCATCTGTCTGTTTAGTGCAAGAGAAGGCAAGTCAGATATATAGTGGAGATAGATAGAGTATTCTAACATATATATCATTCTCTCTCTCCCCTCCCTCTGCACACAGACACCAATATTTACTGTCAGTACCTGCATTCACTAGACTTCCCAAAGTCCGCCCTAGCATTCATTGATCTGGGTCAAACCACTCCATACTCTGGTTAACAAAGTCCTGACCTAATTCTGTCCCTATTTTGTATGCACAACTTCTATAGTTAGTTTAAAACGTACACACTTGTAAGGGTATTAAGTTTTACCAGTATGGGTGGTTATTGAGGGCATAAGCTATTTAGTCTGTACAGGGGAAGGTCTACGTTCGAATCCGCTTCTCTAGCGATCAAGAACGGTCGAACTAAGTGTGATCACACAGCCGATACTGATCTCTCTACAGCAGTGACTACTTTACAGACATCATTTTAAGTACTCGTAAACTATAATTAACTTACCCAAGCATATGTAAAACTGAGACATTCCAGATCGCCTTGAAAAATGAAATGATACAGGCATAGATTGACACGTCTGGACGCTAGGAAGCTGGCAAAGAGAATAGCGTCACTTAGACACTTCAGGCGTTGGTAAAAAAGAAGTCCCTAGTATACATGAGCAAGGAGTAAATCGGTTTCCACGAAACCTCAAATAACTCCCTTAATATATATCAAAGATATATACATTTAAAAGTGGAGTTTAGTTAAAGTAACCAGAAAAGGTAGACATAATAATGTTGTCCAATAAAGGCCTATATATATAGATATAAGGGACTATATCTTTCCGGGCGAGTCCAAGTTTGAATTTTGTGAAGATTTACAGGTAAGTTAGGTTACCAGTCTTACAGACTGATGCGTAAGGGCTTATCATTTCACGACAAACAACCAGAACTTTCCACCGGTTTACAACTGGTGAAAGCAAAGAAGAAGAAGAAGAAAGAATTGTACAGGATGGAATGGAATAGAGGAAAAGATTGCGAGGCTTATGCGATGTACAAACATCTGAACAGGTGGTTATGGTGACATTTCTTTCAATGTGCTTGAAACATTTTTCTTGTCCCCTTTGTGTGTGTGTGTGTGTGCATCTTTTAACAACTGTGTTCTTGCTTTCAGTCTTAGTGTACCTCTTTATTTTAACAGTTTTTTGTTTCCATTTGATATTTAATCAGCAATCGTGCTGGCAGCTACACTGTATTGAGTGGGTGACGTGCAACCCCACCAGGACCACACAAAGAAGGATAAATACCGGGTGACACAAAGTGCCACTATTCGGATGAGGATCACCCAGGGACAGATCACAAAGGCTGGGTTATTTCGCGGCCCCCGGCAACAGTCAGGGTGGGGCTTCAAGACAACGAAAGATTGCCTCCCACATGGGGATAGGTTCTAATTTATATTCTACATGGTATTGACGTGAATATCCTTGCAGACAGCAGCAACGCTGGAAATGGAGCTGATCAGATTTACATGAGTCCAATCATAACTGTCAAAAAAGGAGATATTGATGATGGCCAGTTCCGAAATAGGTAGAGGATAAATTTGGACCCGCTTCACGTGGTCAACCCATCGCTCGGATAATGGCTATAATCTCCGCCTGGTAATGGAAATAGCCCCATTCCGGTGTCCTCGGGTCTTCCACGACTTATGGATCCCAAATCGATTCAGGGGAAATAACATCAGTGTAAAAATCTGGACACTGACAGAGTAGCAATCAAATACCTTTCTTAAATGTTTGTGAATTCTAGACAAAGCAATAAGGTCTTACTGTGTTCGTAAATTGTTGCTGTGATTGTTATTCGACATTTGCTTCGTTAATATAAATTTCTGTAACCTATGGTGCCATTTCAATGGTTTGAAATGAATTCTGTCCGTATTCCATAGTCGTGGATTTCAAGCTGTACGATAGACATGGCCAATAAGACACCTTTTTTGGGGGGTGCCTGGTTGACCATGTTCTTAGTGCACTTGTATTCATGGCGAGGCGCAGATGTCGTCTGGAGGGGACAGGTTCAATTCCCGGCACGGTAAATATAGTTTTCGATTTTTATGTTGTCTAGTGTGTTCTTCCATCTTTCTACTTCTTTCTATGAGTGC